AGCCAGAGCTCAGACTCCCTTTTTCCACTCAATTTCTTCTGCCTAGCTACTACAACTCATGCATTAACACGTTGCTTGCTGCCTGATGGCTGCAGCAACCAGCTTACTAGTTTTGATAGTTTCACTTCTGCTTTAAAGGGACACAAAGTACTGGAAAACAAGTAAAGGAAAATGTCCTGACTCCCCTAAGGCATGCCATGTTCATAGGCTACAGAGGGCATCAGTGTAACACGTAGGGATCTCAGCAAAGCAGCACCTGGATGAGAGCTTCCCACAGGAGCTTAAGCTCCTTTGGGAAATACTTTGGGAGTATTTTGCCATGATTGCTAGTTACAGTGTCTTTGCAGCAGGTTGTAGAGGACGAGGCAGTGCAGGCAAAGCCCCACTGAAAGTTCAGAGTCTTTCTACACCGCTGTGAAACACACAGAGCGCCAGAGAAGTTATTAAGCAGAAGAAAAAGGTTTTGCTTTCAGGCTTATGAGGCATGTGGCTGTGCTTCTGAGCCAACTTTTGCCATCTACAGGTGGTTACTTAAAGCCTGTATAATCTAAGCTGGAGGGGAAGGAGGTTTACCAGTACCTAGTCAGGCAAACTCCCATCCCTGAAGGCTTTACAGTCTAATTCAGACAGGAACAAACAATTATGGACTTGGCTTCAAAGCAGGAAGTGGACTCAGCAATGGGGAGTGCTAAGGAGATGAAAAAGCAGTGTGATTTTTATAAGGATTCAAAGATGAAATAGATTAGACTGCTTGTCCTGGGCACTAAACATTTGAAATGTATTGGGAAACTGAAAAGGCACATAAATATATATTATGAAACATCAGTGACTGCCCAGTTGCAGCACTTGGTAGTTTCCAGCATAGACTAGGTAACAATTAATCTTCAAGACTATGATCTCTCAGTGCTTTTCTTTTTGCAGAAACCTACATAGATCATACCAACATCAGAGGACAGTTACAAGACATACATGTCAGAGGCCAATCTGAAAGCACCTCGGCAAGATAATAAAAAATATTGACAGGTAATGGGCAACTGATTTCTTCTTCTTCTCCCTCTTTCAGAGGGTTACAACAAAGAATGTAAAATAATGTACAATAAGCATCCCAGTTATGCTTATGGACTTTCTATATAATAAAATACAGAAATTAGATATCTAAGATATGGCAGAGGATCCTTTCCTTGCACACAGAAAACAGACATCAGTTAAGTCTATAGGATTTGTGCCAGAGACAGAAGCGGGGAATTAGTTATCCTATGATTTCTAACTCTGCTGCTGATTTCTAAGGTATTAAATTATTTCTGTTTTAAAACACTCAACAATAAGAAATTATCCTCATTTTGCTGGCATGAATCTGAAGCAATGTCATTATCAGTGGTATGGGGTCAGCAAGCAGCATCTCTCCTTAGTTATGGGTGAGTAACTACACTGGAACAAATGAGTTAATATTAACTAATTGGCAACAGAAAGATGGTTCTCTTCCAAACAACTACAAACAAAGACTGATAAAAATCAACAAGATTTAATATCATCCACAACTTCAATTATGTTCTAATGCTCCTAAAGTAAGTGAAAGGCATTTACATACCAACCCCCCTAAATGCTTCCAGTTATGACTGAAGCAAGCTTGACTCTTTACATCACCCCATTAAATCAACAGCATTGGACAAACTGTTGTACTACAAACAGTATAAAAACAGGACAAAGTTAAAAAAATGCAAACTAAACATGAATCCCAACCCAGAGCCCTCTAGTCTGTAGCCTAGGGTTACATTAATTTTGACCTGTTGCTGAGGTCTGTGCTTTGCCAATCTCCTGCATTTGCACTCACAACAAGGTGTGACTCAGTTCCAACTCCATGTACCAACTTTTCCTCTCCCGTATCCCTGGGGGGAAATGTGGTGCTCTCAGCTGTGCTGCTCTGCTGATCCCAGACCTTGCCTTCAGCAACAGAAGGCAGACGATTTTTAGCCATGGCAAAGACCCAACTGGCTAAAGACTTCTGCTTGGCCTTGGAAAAACAGCCAATTATCCAGGCATCCCAAAATATCCAACTATGCTACCACTGCTTTGATACTTCCAACTATGTCATCTGGAATAAAGTCACAGGCCTTTTCTTGTTTAAAAAAGAAAAGAAGCTTTAACTAATATCAGCACTCAGCTGGGGGAGGGGGTGATATCTGCTGGTTGGTGAATATATTGTTTTTGACATTTGATGTCTCCTGGTGATGTTGAACAACAGCAATATTGGCATTTCTGTAGACAAAAAAACTTTCCTGATTTCCAAAGAACTGCCTCTTACTGTGAATTCCTGGAGACAGTACCCAACCTTAACAGTTCTGCTCCTCTTCAAATTCCCTTTGCTCAGTCACTTTAGATTGGTCTCTGTGGGTCACATATAATTGAAAATGCGAGCAGTAGCTGGGAGCAATTAGCAGTCCCTGTGCTGAAGGGAAAATTCAGGTAAAAAAGACTGAAACAGATACAGCTTGCTCAAAACAGACATTTTCTCCTAACTTACACAGCCTGTTGCACACCAAAATTATCAAATCATAACCAAGGATCACTTTTGTCTTCAGCCCAGAAGCATAATGAACTGGAGTGTCATCTTATCAGGACATCACTGACACAAAGATTAACCCTTTCCCAACTAAATTATATACCAGCTTTTCTTGAAATAGTTCTTACAGTCTAGGGGAAGATTTGATTTTATGTAGTTTAAGGACAGTGCAACCACTCCCTTTAACACTGCTGTGATATAGCGAGAAAGAAAGCTGTAGAACAGACTGCTCAGGACTTCCTTTCCCTCTTCAGCTATCCTTTGAAAGTGCCCTTCACTCACAAACTGGTGAATCCTCATTTAATCTCCTGCTCAGTGGGGTCCAGTCAAAGGGCAGCTCCTCCTCCCCTCCTGGAGAGAGCAGCACAGCAAAGTCAGCAGTGGGAGCGAGCTGGAGGGCCACCAGGGGAAGGGAACTTGTGACCTCCTGGCTCTAGGCTATGAGTTTGACCAACTGAGCCATGCCCAAATGATCTCTCAGTTAATTTTTCACAGACTTGACTGAATCAGCAAGTCCCAGCTGCAGGTAAAGCTACTTCGAGCATATTCCCAGGTATATATTTAGCCTAGCTCATGGGGATACTCAAGTGCAGGTACCTTTCTTAAATTCAGGAATGCTGATATCCTCAAACCACTGACAGAGAGATGATGCCTTTCCTGGGTTGCATCATGGTTCTGACAGCCTCATTTACACAGGGATCAGAAAATACTCACACACAGAATGAGTATTCTGTGTATGAGAATCCAGAACCAGTGCCCCCACTTAATACAGCTGTCACCCAAAGGTCCCACTGCAGCAGATGATGTCTCATTCTGAAGCTGCTTGGGAAACATGGCAAATCAAAGCCACACTATGTGCAGCACAGCAGCTACTTGCTGAGCACAGCACAGCTCAATTATTCTATAAAGAAGTGCCAGAACTCCCACCTCTCATTCCCAGTTTGAGTTTATCTTTGCCTGCTTCTCCCTGGGAGGCACCTCATGCAAATCCCAAAGAACCTTTCCACACCACAAGAATACAGAGGCATAAAGCATGGTGTTTTCAACATTAGTCTTGATTTCTGTAAAACCCACCAGTCCCACAAGGACAGTGAATTCTGAGGGGCATTAAAAACAATGCCAGGGACAATCTGGAAAGGTCCTGCTAGAAATGTTAGTTCTGGAGGATTCTCAGACAAAAAATACGAAGGGCACTGAGTCAAGGTGAGCTGAGAAGCATGCAAGCAGGAAAACTTGCCAATAAAAGGCACTCCTTCAGAACATAATGTTTTGTCTGACTGCTTTATCAAAAAATCAATTTACAACTGCTTCTTACTACTCTGAACTGAAAAAGACAAGGGTGCAAAGGCTCTAAATCAAGAAGAGGAAGGTAGGCAGAGTAGGGCAGCCCTCATTCACTAAAGCATTAAACATTTTCTACTTTTGCATTTTAGAGAAATCCAGACTGTTATTTTCTTTCCCTGAGAGTGTTTGTTGTTTGGCTGTTTTGATTTTCAAGCAGTGTAATTTCTGCTACCCATGGTTAAAATAATCTTGTGTCAGTCACCCAATGCTCTGGAGCAGTCTGGTCTATTTTATTAATCTTTTCATGGCCAAATATCTTCAGAGATGCCTAAACCAGCTAATTTAGAATAATCCTGTTGTAGAGAAGAATAAATGCCTTAGATTTCAAACCAAGGACTTTGGTAACAAAACTATCACAGACTGATAGGGAAATTCTGGCAACACTTTCCAGAAGGTTTAGTTCAAACTTCCATCATGCATGAGGTAGATTAAAACATCCAACTTGGAAATCAATCTACAAAGACTAACTTTAAATGTAATTTGAATTGATCTACTTAAAATGTTATCATGTCGCTTTATTCTTGCTTTACTTCAGAATACTTTCAGTTTTGTATATATGAGTTCTCTCACAAAAAGGAAAATGCAATTCACCCCTCCCTTTGCGTCCTCCTCTGCCACTGCAGCATGGCCTCTGTCCATTTTCTCCTGTTACTCACCAGTTCCCAGTTTCAGCATTCAGTTTTCACACATAATTCTGCTTGAACAAGCCTTTGTTTTCCCCAGTACATTTTGTATTCTTACCTGTACACACAGAGGCAGCACTGTGCCCCCAGCATGCTCTAAAAAGTAATTAAATACGCACTTTTTTCCTATAGTTCTCAACCTCTCCCAGAATAAGCAGAGAAATCCTGGGAAATTAACACAGTGGCATACCACTCCAGACAGCTCCAAGTCCATATAAATAGCTCTGACAGCCTCCACTTTTTTCCTCACTGTTTCAGCATGTAAAAATCCTGTCTCTTCATACCTGGGAGACTGAATACTGATTTGTTCCACTGTCGAGATGGTTCAGCACATTTGCCTGTTAAGCCTCACAGGTCCTACATTTCTTCAGCAGGTCCATATTGCTTTTCCAGTAGCTGAAAGGCTCACTCACCTCCTTGTGGGAATCCTTATGTGCTTCCAGTGTTTTCATGATAGTCAACTCTGCATAGTTCTTAAACCTCGCCGGCTGGTTCCGCAGGATCTCCCGCAGGACTCGCAGCGCCAGGGCTCTGATTGAATGCTGTGCCAGGAAAAACAGACATCAGAAAGAGATTAGAAAGAGGCACTTCTCAAAATTGTAGTTTGATGTGAATTCTCATGGCTCATCAGAAATTTGCATGGCTCCCTACGCCACCAGCTCCAGTGGAATCAATGTAACAAAATTCAGTATTGGGCTCCTTGCTTGCTCTTGCACAAAAAGCCACATAAAATGACTGTTCTCACATATACAAGAATCTGAATGACTACTTTCCTAAATTCCATATTCTTTTGGCAATGAAGTACAAATTTTTACTCACAGGAGGACATCTACATGATCAACTACCAAACATTTTTAACATTTCAAAACAAGATCCTTTATAAAAGCAGCTTGTTCTTGATGACATTTTTACAAGAGACAGAGACTCATCCCATGAGAGCTAATACTCTGGGTCTTTAAACCACCCAGGGAAAAAAATCAATTTATTCTAGAATGCCTTTATTCTCCTGGCTGGGAATGGGTATAATATAGCTAAGAGCTTGTAACTTCACCCTAACTCAGAAGAGAGTAAAGTCTTGACAGTTTTTTACTAGACTAGAACTTCTTTTCTGATTCTTGTTCAATTTCCAGCTATTTATTAGTAACGCTCTGGAGGGAGGGGGAAAAACTGGGACATTTTGGAGTATCTTAAAACTCATCACTGAACAGTGTCAGGAGTCACTGAAAACTAGAGTTGTCAACCTTCAAAAGAAAAAATAAGCAGTATCACTGATGAGTGGCAGGTTTCATTTAAACTGGTGTGTAGGAATTATTACCCAAGATGAAGCAATGGACAGGAGAGTTAAGACAAAATCTACAGCTCACATCTTTGTCTCCAAGCGTTTCCAGCAGCAAGAGCAGAATGGTTTTGAAATGCTCCTCCCAAACTCCAAGATTATCTTCTCTTGTGATCTTTAGCAATTCCAGGAGAGCTGCTTTCCGCTCCTCCACCCGCTCGTTGTGGTTGGAGAGCTCTTTCAGAAGATCAGCCACCAAATCCGAATGGTCAATGGGTACTTCTAGGACAAATGGCAGCAAATCATTTGGAGAAATGGGGAAAAGATCAAAGGTGCTAAGACTGCTCACCTTCTATGGAATAAGGTTCATGTAACAAGGGGACCCCCAAAAATGCATCTACTTCCAGGTGGTCTCACTCAAGCAGGCAACAGAATCAGACTAGCCCATAATTTAACCTGAGTTCATAGCATGGCTCATGCATCTGCACACGGCTTCCAATGAACCAGGAAGAGATGACAATTGGATTTCTTCCAGTTCCAACAATTACTTCTACAAGATGAGAACTGCCGTGGTTTTTCCCAGACACACACACCCAAAACCAATGGTCACATGTATGACCTTTAGATTAAAGTACAGTGACTCATCAGTGTACTGCAAAAGAATAAAGCTGATGTGTAGCTGCACTTAAATGAAGTCAAACACTCGATAACAACAAGCTGTTGAGTGAGCCACAAAGAGGGGAAGGTCCCAAAGCAGTGTCCCTACAGATGCATGTGGATGCTTAAGGGAGTAGTTTACAGGAAACCCCAGGCAAACAAGAATCAAAACCGCAGTGTAACATTTTTTCTCAGTAGCTGCAGATGAGGTTCTGCTGGGACATGAGAACAAAGGGTATTTCACCCCAAGCCTCCACTCAGATGCAGCGTAACACACAACACATGCACAGGCAGGCACGTATCTGAGGGCACCATCTGTACACAAAGACACCAGGGAGGCAGCGAGCTGCCCGCAGCGCTGCGAGGTGAGTGGGTACAAACCATCCCGAAGCTGATCCATGTCGTCGTCGAACACTGCTTCCTTCAGGGCCGTCTTGTCGTACGTGTTGATGGTGTCAGCGTAAGGATAGGGGTTGTACTCCCGAGCGCGCGGCCCTGAGAAGGCGCGGGGAGGCTGCGTGTTCAGCAGGGAGGTTTTGTTATCCAGAGCCATCCTTCCGCCCTCCACCATGTCACTGCCTCCACGGACATCGCCACTAGGGAGAGCAAGGCCACCATCCCGAGACACCTAGGGGAATCAAAGAGAGAGAAAAAAGGTTTGTGCTAAATTGTATGGAAACTGTAGCATTTTTGGAGTCCACTCACCAACAGGAAAAGGCACAGATTTACATGTATTATTTATACATAACACTTATGTAAAACTTTGATTATTACCTCTTTCCTTCACACAACTACACCTGCTCAAAAATATCGCATGATCACAGTTTCTGTAACCACTCTTGCAGGATAAGATGAGCTGTGCACCCGGAGTGATCACAGGTCCTAAGCCTGTGAGGGAAACCACCCATGCATTTCAAGAACTAACATTTCCCATTACAGACCTGACTACACACACTCTACGCAACAGCCACCACTGAGCCATGCTAAGCCTGAGGAACACTAGCACTGTTTCCATCCTTCATGGCACTTGCACAGAAGCCCAGTGAGCACATTCCACAGGAGGCCAGAGTTCAAAGGGAGCCAAGGGAAACAGTCAGTGAAACCCCATAATTAAGGTATAAGAAGGTAACAACCAATAAGCAGAAGATGCCTGTAAGAATACAGCAGGAATAACTGAATTTTGTGCACCAACAATCCACAGACAGGTTTGATCACAATGTTTTAAAATTTCATCTATCAGGGGACGGTAAACAACGGAATACTTACAATGTCACAGTCCTTCTTTCCATCACGTTTGATTGGCTCATTCAGGTCCTCTTGACTACGGAAACTAAATTTCTCAATTGCTTCTGTGACTCCACGAAGAGAGCTGTAGATTTCATCAGAGTTTAGGTTCTCCGTGTCATAATCCAGCATACTAAAGACCAAACGTATATGAAATGTTACAAATGAAACTGGAATCCGCTTCTGACTGTCAATAAAAACAAGCTGGAGACATATGGTTTGGAGTGCCCTTTCTAACAGTGACTTGTAACACAACATGGATGGAATCAAAGCAGAGTTCAGGTCTGAGCTGCCCCTCAAATGGGGCTAAAACAAGGAGAACACATTGCTGTAAGTGAAGGAAAAACAGGTCCACTGTTTGTTACATTCAGTAAGTGTGCTACCTTCTGTAAACCAAAAACCCTATCCCCAGTGTGGCAGGGTGTAATTTAAAAAGGAAAATAATATCAGCCACTATAAGAACTCAAGTGGTTATGACAGCTGGTGGAAATGAAATCAGTGAAATTTAAGTTTAATAATATAAGAAACTATGACAGATTTAAATGGAAAGGAAAATGTAACTTGACATAAACCTTAGTCTAACATGGCCCATTTTAATTTATAAAGTAGTAAAACCTAACACACTAACACAGTGCCTTGATGAAAACAGTATTTTAGTATTTGGCCTAAGTTTGGGAATTCTCTCACTCAAACCTGACACTTTCTTGCAGTTTATCTGCTCTTCAGAAATTTCTCAGAAACAAAACGCAAAAGTTTTGGGGTTCCTGGAGGAGTTATCCAAAATAAAGTCCCATGATAAAATGCCTTACATGCAAGGGCAGATGGAATTAGAAGATCTGGCTAAAGAGAAGTTCCTATAATCTTTGAGAAAATAAAAAAGCATTATTGGCAGGGCTTTGCTCTATCTAGGAGTTGTGTTTGCATGACAATCACTAAATTAATAGATTCAGCAAGAGAGAACAATTTCTGGCTGAGTCTCAGATCTCAGTAGAGCCAGAAGCAAGTAGACTGAATCAGACATTTACATCAAGTTGTTTGTCAATAAATGGCAAGAAGTGGCTCCCTGCAGTTGTGAATTACTATTTCATAACATTTTGGGAAGAATGACAAGATGGGCTTGGAGGCAGATGGCTGAACTGAGTTGTGTTCCTTTTCCACAAAAGAAAGATTCCCTATGAGGTGGGTGGGGGGAAAACCCAAACAAACAAGAAAATCCCTTCTGAATTCTGCATACACAGCTGTTATTTTCAATGGAACCAAAAGCAGGATATTAAATATCTATTAAATATCTAGAACCACAGCTTTTTTTTCTGGAAGAAACTTGGGGACTTCAGACAGAGGATAAGATGGGCTGCCCAATTCCTTTAGGATTAACACACTGAAAATAGCCATAATCCCTGGCTCCAAGCAACGTGTTCGCACTACACTCACACAAGCATCAGCACCATGTATTTTGGCAAAGAAACCAAAGAACAGTTCCCCAAACACTGTCTGGCAGACCAGGGAGAATGAGAAATCATTTAACAGACCAAGATCAGGAAATAAAAGCTGTTCATAAACCTACAGAAGTTGAAGTATTTAAGGGTTTCCAGACAGCTGAACAACAGCAATGCACTGTGATAGCTTTCCAGACAGAAGGCAAGGCAGTTTTTAGGTTCTTCAGAAGTACCAGTCAGGAATAGGAAAAATCGTTGTTTCATACAATCTCAAAAAGATACGTTTTGAGCTCAAGCATGTTTAATTCAAAGATCTTAAAGGGTTTTTCATACAACTTTGAAGTGGGCAATGAAGCCACCATTTGAAAAGGTATACAAGTGACTGTACCTGTGTTCTCACACCAAGAGATGACATGACTTACCAAAGGCCACACAATTAAATCCATGGCAGAAAAACCAAAAAATAATCACAAATGTAATACTGACAATAAATCTGCTGAAGTCATCAATTCTTTCCTCAGAGATGAATTTTGCCCTACATTGTCACCAAAGAACAATGAGAATACAGACTCTTTACTGCTAAAGGACTACGGTGATTTCTCAGAGCCACCAATCTGATGCATTTGTCAAAGCACAAACCCACATTTAAAAAAAAAATCTAAAGAATCCAGTGATTTCATGTATCAGGAGTAAGCCTGTGTAGGAGGTCACATTATGGCTGTGCTCTACATGAATGAAAATTCTACAATGTGAACACACGTCTCTACTGACAGTATGTGCACTGGAATACTTCACAGACAACACAATGGGGGAATAAAAGTAAAATGGAACTACACTCACCTTTCAGGAAAAAAAAAGCACAAAAGGGAAAAGAAATTATGACCCATGCAGAAAACTAGAGGAAAGGCACAGGATGAATAAGAAGTGAGTAGAGATGAGCAGTGTTCAGGGATGTCACAACATTATTTTCCATCTGCTGCACAAAACCAATGCAGCTGTCTGTAAGTTTATCGTGATACAATTTGGCAGTTTTCCAGTCTGGCATGAAATACATTTTACTTCCATAAATTGTTATTCAGTTTCCAATCCAAACTATGTGTAAGTAGTCCACAGTTTAGTGTCTTCAAGCAGTACACAGTAACTTACATCCTTGCACTTTCAGGCTCTGGGCTGGAAAATATTTCAAACCTTATTATCTGGTGTCAGATAAAAGAAGACAGAAAAAACACTCTCAACTAGTTTTATTCCAAAAATCAACATGGATCCCCCTCCACACATAGCTGCACATTGTCGTAACATTAAAGTTTTTAATACTGCAGGTATTCACAGAATGCACCTTCTACTGCATTCTACTTTCTCTCTTAGATGTCACAGGTTCTCAGATTTTGAGCCCTGAAAGAAAAAATTCTTTGCTTTTCTTTCAATAGTTTTTCATTAGGACCTTCTGCTTTAAGGAAAGACTATATACAGTCTTTCCTCAGGTAACAGATATATCTAAGTCAGGAGAAACCACATTTACAGATGGTCTGTTGTCAGGGTTTAAACTTGAAAAAATCCAAAGAATTTAACAAAGATCTGACAAATTAAATTTGTATTCAGGGTGTTTGTTTTTTATTTTTCTTAAAACCAGCATACAGCTTTAGTCCACTTTATTGATCCAAGAGCTGTATGCAGACTGGAACAACACGTGAGGGCACAGGAGGAGGAATAGATGTTGAAATTGCGATTGATAAACTCAAAATCTTGTGGTGAGGTAAGGACAATATTTATTTCAATACTACAAATTTCTAGGATGTTCCACAATCACATTATACAAGCAAAGCTGTATTTGAAGTCACTCCTGAGCTGCACGTGTCCATCTGGAGGTCCTCTAGTGCCACATGCACAGTGCAGCCAAACTGAAAGATCCTGCCCCTGGTATTGTAACGCAACCAGTGCCTGCCAAAAGTGCTCAGCAATTGTGTTCTGCATTGGAAACTGACTGTGAAGCACCCTGCCATCTTCTTGAATGGGTGAAAGAGTCTGGAAAAATCCACTTTTTTTTATCCCCACTTGCATGCTGCATCTCCCCCAAGCAGCGAGCAAGTGGCTGCTGTCAGCCCTGCTCTCTGAAGGCTATCATCATCCCTGTTCCTTTTCCAGCCAAAGCCTCTGCAAGTCCCACATTTGAACAAATCCCGTGGTGTGAAAGGTAAATAATACTGTGACATCTCAGACAAGTTGGTTTAACAGGTAGCTTGTTACCTGGGAGAGTAAGAGCGTCTGAAAGTCTTGTGGGAAGGAGCAGTGGGGATGGAGTTAGGCTGAGAAAGGGGAGGGGGGTGCTTCGACAGCCCATCTGCACTCCAACCCCAGAGCCGACTGCCGTGACCAGAGGAGAAACAAAAGAGAGAAAAAACAGAGAAAGAAGAGGGAGGAAAAAAAAAAGAAACTATAATCTGAGTGGCTTAGTGCTGTCATGCTGCCTTGGAGAGAGAAAAAAATTAATAGAAACAAAATTAAACAAGAATACTCCATTGCGCCTCAGAAGTCTTTGTTTTGGTCTTTATTATTCATTTCCATTTTTATTCCTAACATAATATGATTCACAAAAAGTCCAGTCCCTGCTTGTACTAACCAGTAGATTTTACAAATGGATATAGCCTCTATAAACAACTCCATTTATAATGTTCTACACAAACAATCCCTGGCCACACATGTATCCAAACTCTAAGCAGCTGTTTCTAAGCAACAGGATTTCCCTGGAAGAAAGAAAAATTGGAATTTATTTTTTTATTAGACACCTGAAGGTACCTTGTAAAGTTTGTCTCCTGGTGCCTCTATAAAAGCCTGTAATCAGGCTCTACATAATCAGAAAACCTTTCCAGGGCTTAAGATCTGATCCTGTTTCACCAGACTCAAACTGAACCCAAATATGCAGCAAGTGAAAAGTCAGTCCGGAGTGTAAATGTATCATGGGGACCTGGCCTAGGTCTCAGCAGACAAAGCTGGAAAGACTGGATGAAACCAGCCTCTGAGTTGTTTCAGATTGCTCCTCAAACTTTCACAGGCCCCTTTAAGTTATTGCATGACCCCGTGCCTTTGGGTCAAGACTTTCATTCCTGTGTCAGTTTGTCCAACCTCGGGTTTTGTCCTTTTCCCATTAAGGTACAAGGATTTTCAAAATCACCTTCCAAATGAGAACAGGTGCTTGAGCTGGTGGAGTATTCACAACACTACTTTGTTTCTATTACATTTCAGCACATTGTCTTGGATAGCTGTATTTGTACATATGCAAGTGAAAGACACTTTCACATGAGAAGTGACAAACAAGTCAAGAATTGCTCCAGTGCAAACAGCAGCAAAGCCAGTTAAAAAACTCCTCTGAAGAGCAGTGTCAAGAATTTCACTCATTAACCAACAATCAAATCCCACAGCTATTATAATGCCAGTATTATCAAGGAAATACTCCAGACTCCTAGACTGCTGATCAGAACTCTCACAGCTCAGTTGTCACCTGCCTGAACACAGGCCACCAAACAATGCAGGCTTGTCTTTATTGTATAAAGTGAGTGGCTTATTTTAATTCTGTTTCCATGCCTTTGCTTGCTCAACTTAATACGGAAAGTGTCAATCAAATTTTGTTTTCACTGGTATTTTTTTTTATCAGCAAAATAGCAAATATTTAAACTTACATAGCCAGATAAAATTGTAGCCTTTTATTCTGATGCATTTCCTCTAAAGATCTTTGAAGGACTAAACGTTTTTGGTTTCTGTTTTGTTTTTTTTTTTAATTTTGGGTGATTTTTGTTTATTTGTTTTTAATAATAAAAACTGAGCACGGGCTTCTGGGCTACTAATAATGACATAAACTCATTCCAAATGTATGCATTCAATTACTCCTACAAAATTCTACTAGGTGAAATTCCCAATCTGAATGTAACATTTAAGTTTGCAGAAGTCTTTTTACCATTCAGAACAGTATTCTAACACCAAAGGACTTCACAACCTAGTGTTTGCCATTTTGTAGTACAACATAATTTATTAAATCTCAGAAGATTTCTCTGTCCTACATAAACCCAAGCCATTTATCTGTGCTTTTCCTAGGAAACATTATTCTCTTTCAGTCTGAAGTCTGGTGGTTTTTTCCTATTATTTTCATTCTTCCCAAATGCCCTTCCCTGTTTTCTTTTCCAGAAAGCACTTCTCTCTTCCATAACTCCTCTCACCAAAAACTAAAACTGTTAAGGAAAAAAAAAGCAGCTACAAATAGAGAAGTAACTCACAGATGTAGTGGATATGTTATAGTGACCATGAAGCAGAACTGGAGGGAGTAAATGAAGGCAGGAGGAAGGACTCTGTCCAAGACCCTGAAAGCAGGCTACCCTCCTGAAGACTTTAGGGGATACTTAAGCAGATGTTATCATCTGAATAGGCAAATCAGTTGTTTGCAGAGTCCACTTCAACCAAAACATTCAAAATCTATCCATACAGCTCAAATACATGTACACATAAATACACAAACACACAACTCCCAAAAAAATCAGTTACCTGGAATATATACATAATACAGTAACTCTGTATCAAGGAAACCTTGCTGACTGATGTTGAAGATATTACCCACAAACTATTAGCAATATGGGAGAGCATTTTCATATTTCTACAGGACCCAATTATCCTTTCTACACATATACCAGCTCCAAAGACATGTATGCCTCTGCATTTTACTCCAATCTGTGAACCAAGAAAAAAAACCACAAGGAAAGCATGATCTTCGAAACCAAAGCTGGCATTAAGATCTGGAGATAATCCTTCCACTGACTATACTCAGGCTGCCTGTACAAGACACGAGCAGGGACAAGGTAAGCAGGGACTGCACACAGAGCACTCCAGGAGGCAATGGGAATACCCAACGTGACTACAAACCTTGGTAGTAGGCCCCCTGAAAATGTAAGGCCAAGCCTACTTTTGGAGGAGAGCTACACAAAGAAAGTGGGAATCTTTATCCTTTCACACTGCTATCAGAATGGCCTGGGTGTGCTTATGTTCTGGTTTGTAGAGAGAAAAGTGACATTTCAGAGCAAGGCTGAACAGCAAATGTCAATCATTTGAAATGGAAACATGACACTGAAACACCTATACCAAAGAATGCAATGTTGCAGCATACCCTACTTACCACAATCTGTCAGCACAGCTTTCTAAGCCTCTTCTCTCAAAGGACAACCAGAGCTAAATTCTCATTTAAGTCAGGACCATGCCCAAACTGTGCTACACAAGACATTTTTAAGAAGGATGCAGCCCAGCAGAGCTTCAGAAGCTACTGCCCCTGATTTGCAGTACTTGCCACTGCCTTTTCTACAAATGGCAAAAATCTGCAGATACTGTTACAGCTCAGAGGGCACTCACAGCTTCTCCTTTCCAAATATTTTAAAGGGCTTTCATAGCAGCTTCCACCTTCACCTGTCACTGAAGAGCAACTTTTAAACATCACTCCTGAGTAACTAAATCTAGCAAGGAAGCAGGATACACTTCTTGAAGACACAATTTTTTATTAAACACCTCCAAGAACGCTACACAAAATGGAAGGAATTATTGTTTTCTAAAGGAAATTCCTGGGCAACTGCATCCAGGGCAGAATGCTCTAGAATTATATGCCCTCTCAAACTAGTCCTTGAGAACAAATCACATATAGAAAAAACCCTTCAGTTTCTAAATCCAAAATGCTAGAAAGTAACAGCAACAATGTACACTGGATGCTTTAATCAATACCTTGATATTTGCCTCCTGACATCAAGAGGTGAGAAGAATGCAAAGACAAATAAAAAACAGTGAGTCAAGTGGTAATAAACAATTGTGTCCCAATGGCAAAATCCAAAAAGCATGGTAAAAGGTTGTGGAATTACAAAATAAGTGCCACATGCCAACATGGCCAACAAAACCACAACGTAACCACAGGGAGACACAGTCAGTAATTTCCCATGAAAGAAATCAGCAGGGCAACAATGCTCAATCTAGTCAAAAAGGAAGCAACATAGTTGGAACTGTTCCTCTGAAATTCTACCACTTAATTTCTTAATGAAACCTTTGTGGAAAAAAACTCCTAATAGGCAACTTGGCTTTGGCTTGCAAACTTTTGGTTTAGTTTTGAATTACAGCAGATTTAGAAGTCACAAAGATGCATCTAGATACCCAAAATTTTCCCAGGAAACACCAATGATTCCTATGCTTCTGGAATTAGTATAATTATTTATTAAACACTAAAGGCCTGTACTTTTCCTGACACACTGGAACTCACATGTCTTAAGCATCTCTTCAGAGACAGTTTTGCAAATAACATGGGTAGATGAACAAATTTCAATGTAAACTACTACACTGCACTATGAACTGCAGTCCTCACCCAACATGGTTCCTTATGCTTCTTCCACAACCTGTCATGAAGAGCACAGGCAGACAAGGGCAGCAGAATTTAAGCTTCTCCAGCATGAACCAGAGCTTGTCCAGATAACAGCTTGCTGCTTTCCTCCAATATTTCTATGGTCCCAGAACATACTGTCTGCAATGCCATCTCCCCTACTCTAAGTTTTAACGCTGCAAAACACCCACATTCCCAGCAGACAAGAGTCAATGCTGGCTGAATACAAAATTTTGAAGTGGACCAATGTATTCTAGGGTAGCACCTGCAGCTTCAGCAAAACACCTGGCTGCAACAGACCTGCTGCTCATGAGACCAGGCTGCTGCTCTGCTGGTGAGGAGCCAGGTGAGCAATTTGGAAAGTATTCAGCAGTGAAACAGTCACCACCTCTGCTTGTCCTGCATCCTCACAAAGAATAAGAGGGGAACAGCAGATACAGCACTTCTCTCAGCAGCACAAGCCCTGTAATACAGTCTGAAGAATTACTGATTACAGGTCCACACCTAAAAAATGGCACAATCTGAAAGTCCTGTTCTGAGAGTCATCGCAGACTTTGTGACATATGCAATCTCAACAAGACCTTATTTCTAATGCTGCCAATTAATATTACCTTCATTATCCACAAATGTAATTCTGAAGAAGGCCACAAAACAAAGCTAATATGATAAGAAAAGATATTAAGATTACACAGACAGCATGAGGACTGGAACACTGAAGTCAATCACCAGCCACGTATTATCATGTTCAAACACTGCTTCTTTGCAGAAACATACTGTAAACTTATTGTCTTGTTTTTGCTTTCAAAGTGAGTCATATTCTGCAAACGCACACTTGGTGTTGAAATCCTTCAGTATTTTGCAAGGGGTTTAATTAGCCTGCCACATTACCTTGGAGACAGTCCACCATGAGAACAGTTGGTAGGTGAAGTTAAGGGGCTGGTTCTGCTGCTGGAGTGCCGGGAAGGAGTCCGACCAAGGGTATTGCTGGGGGAGCCCTGACACAGAAGCAGGAAGACAGGGATTAGCAAAGTGTTGCAATGCACAGGCAGGAGTACAGCAACAGGTCTAAACAGTGCCTCTATTTGCTCTAGACAAGTTTAGTGCAATTTTGATTATGCCTCTTGACCTAAAACTCTGCAGCCATGGTTCATGCAGTCATTTATATGCCCCTGAAAATATGACTCTGAGGATAAAGAAAGTGTATGTGCATTTCTCTACAACCCACGGTACCTGCAATTTAAATACACAACATGTATGGCCTGCAAATATTGCCAGAGAAATGGTCAATCAATCCAGCTTCTCAAACAAGATTTGCAAGGCTCCAAAATATGCTCATCATTACCCTGACAATTTAGTATTCTAATTACACAGCTATTTTCCACATTGTCTAAAGCATTCTGATTATGCTTGTTAGGAGCATAAGTAAGCGGTCTAACTTAGCATTTTTCCACTGGCCTGCACAATCTTTTGTACCACAGCAAAATGAGTAGAAATTGCTCTCAATTCTGACACTTTTCACATAGAGTCAAAAGTATTAGAGAATCCAGACCATTTGCCTGGAAGCCTCACACTGCAGTTCTAGCTTACACTAAATTCTGCTTAGCCCTGTGGAAGTGATAGGAGGGCTCAAATTCCAGCAAGTTCACAAGACTTCCACATTAAAAAGACAAAAACTCCTTAATCCTTGCTGCTATGGGAAGGGAAATAAAGTTCCTATTTAAATCTACTAACATATTGCTTCAGTGAAATAAAAATTCATATAAAAAAGCAAAACATAAGGTAATGGGCATAGAGTGAGGTGACCCTGTAGGCCACATTAAAGATCCTGCAAGCTTAACAGACAGTATAACTGCTATTAAACTGATCTCAATACCAGTCATAAGCCAGAAAATCTGTGGTATCAAGATCTGTTTTAGCCAAAAAGTCATTACTGGCAGGACTTTCAAAAGCACCACCAACTTGAAAGCACAAACCCCACCAATTTTAATCACTTCTCAGTAATTTTTTAATCTCTTCTGGTTAGGACTATATTAAATTTTAAAATAACTGAGTTTTTTACTTTAATGGTCCCTATTAAAAGCAAAATCAAACAAAAGCCTCTGTTGCCATATTGCTTCAAGACAACAGTTACAGATAATTCAAACTGAACATCTGCAACAGCTTATCAATGAGCTGCTGTCTTTGGGGCTCTGCTGTTTGCAAGGACAAGGGCCTCTCACCACACTGGTGTTACTGGAGTTCTTGAGGTGGTTGTGCAGGAGCTTGGTAGCACCATCCTGGAATGTTTTTGGCAAGGCACCAAGTAACATGGTAAACTCAGGGGTGTTCAGTTCAAAGAGAGAAATCAGGACTATTTGTGCTGCCTGAAAAGAAGAAGAAAAAAGAGACCATCAGTTTTTGTTCTTTGAAAAGAGCATGTCTTCTCTTGGTAGGATCCTTACAGTAGATGATGTGTGTTTCATTCAAAAAGAAGATTCCCTTACCAGACACATCTTTGAAATGTTCTTTGTGATATATCATAATGAATTACTAACAGCAATAGTTAGCTTTAGTTCTTAAAGCTTAAATATATTTCTGCATTTATACCATTATTTTCCCAGATGTGAAGTGTACAGCTATTCACAGCCTTGTGAGAAACTCTTACCAAACTCTGTCCAGCATATATTTCAGTTAAACAAATCACTGTAAAGATTTACTGAAAAAAAATAAAACTAGAAGTTCAAATAAGTATGAAGACTCTGGGGACTACAATTCGTCATTCCCGTGTTTTTTATTTTATGTGTGAATGGGATGAGACTCTTCCCACCCAACCTCTTCTCTTCCTGGGGATCCCAAGTTTGTTTCATCAAACAGATAATCCACCTCTCCTTTTGAGTCTTGACCACTCAGGGTTTTTCAGCAATTAAAGACTCCATCTGAAATGGAAGACCTATGAGGATGGTGACAACCACCTTGACCATGGACCAGCTAGACTCCACCAGATTTCCTAAATTTCTTAAGTGAAACTGAGGTACCACTGAAACAATTGAGAATTCTATCATTAATTTTGCTGGACAGGGTTTGCTTTACGTGCCTCAGAGAAATCCTGCCAGAACAGGATCTCTCTCTCCCAAGTCCATTAGCAAACACATCACTCTGCAGATCCTGAACTAAGACAATGGAATCAAATGGGAATGGAAGCAGAATAAATCACAGTGTGCAGACCTGAAAAAGTAATTAACATCACATGTTCCTAACCAGACTTCCCCAGCAGCATCCAACCTGTGTGGATGCACCAGTTCTGTGAGCTTTTTCCCTGACTTTACCTTAAAAGTATACAAACATCAATAAAAAGAAAAATAGAAATGAAGCTATAATGAAGGACCTCTGACAGTCTGCAGCGGCACCTTCTCCGAGGGGGGTGTAGCCATTGACACATCAGCTTCCAGAATACATATCTGGACAGAAAGCAGTGGCTTGGGCTGACAAAGTTAAGCAGCAAAGCTAGACATGCTCTTATTTTGGAAAAGCACGCACACATGCTTAGAAGAAGCAGACACTTGGCTATGACCCTTTCAGGAACTTTCTAAAATCTCCTAAAAATGAAAAATTACTTTGAAAAGGGTACAAATGTTATTCACTGCTGTGGGGATAAATGTACATTCATTGTTCTCATCACTTTAAAGAAGGATTTTTTAGTAAGTAATGTGCTCACAAAGTTGCCATAATTAATTTGCTCTGCAATTCCCTGTAGAGTGGAATTCTTCACAGATGATGAACTTGGGTACACAAACACCCTTCACAGTGGAGGGGAATCACAGTACCCCATTGTTTCAATGTGCAAACTGCAATTCAAGCTATACTGTTTCTTCTGCCATCAGCAGCATCCAGCACAGCTTTGTATATAAAAACATTTTCCATCCATGAAAGTTTGGTTGGTATCATCCTTTTCATACGGCCAACAAAGGAACCAAGGCCCACAACACTCAACAGGCTTCCAAGGACTGCAGGAAACAACAGGTCTTCAGACTTCATACCAGATGGATCATGCTCCCTCTTCTGCCAAAACTCTTACTGACTTGAACAGAAACACAGTATGTCATTATTCACTCCATTCTAAAGACCCAAGGATGAAAGAAGTGGGGAGACAGCTTTCCCCATGGTTTTCTCAACTCCATTGTCTACCCTCCTCTGACCTGAGGTTTTGGCAACTCTGCCATGAAGCCTGCCTGGTATCCAACAAGGAAGTGTATTTCTGTCCATTTTGATCCAAGAACTTTTAAGCTTTCACCAGCACAGTATTTTCTGTAATAAAAATATTACTGCACACAAGAGATCTCAGAACAAGGAACAGCAAAGTGACAAGTCATGCCAACGTACATTCCCGCTGGTGAACAGCATGCATATCCTCAGTAGTTAGGAGTGGACATGCAAATCCTCTGTGTCAGAACAAGCAGATCTCACATTCACTGAGATTAAATAAAAACCAACAAAACCAAAAAAACCCAAAACCAAACCCCACAAAAATTGATCGACAAGGTTTGCAGATTGAGAATTGCCTAGAGATTGGAGTATCTGGAGTTATCAACTGGTAAGTCAGGAACTGCCCAACAGAGATGTTTGAGATGCATCTCAGAGACCTGAGAGAAATCTTCAGCAAAGCTCCCCCACAAACACTAATGGCACAGACACTGTTCTACAGGAGTAGCTGAGAGAAGTTTCAGGTCTCAGAGGTCACTACAGTTTTGTTCCACTTTTGCTTTTTGGCTTTAATAACAACAGAACTATGTCTGCCCTTCCTCTTTGCACAAAATACAGCTTGTCTTTAGGGGTGTCTGCCAGAATTTTGTATACCCAGTGCTCTTCAGCAGCTTTCCTGTCACCTGTAAATAGTCACTGGGCTTTGAATGATGTGCTTAACAGTGGCTCCCAATGCTCACAATCTTCTGTGGCCTCAGAGAAAACAGACCTATAGTTTATGCCTTTTGAAAGCCAAGGACAACATCCTGAGAGTGGTGCTCCAGTAAAGGTCTGAAAGACAACACTGGAGTAACATGGGTAAAACCCTGTCTGTGTTCTTTCTAAATTGTCCTCAGACATCCAACAGCACTTCCAGGTTCAATTCAGGCAAAAGTCATTATTTGAAAGTGTGCCCATAATTTCCTACTTAATATTTAATACACAAAGGTCTTGGTCCCTTACCACTGTAAGATCAACATTGCTACTTACTGGCCTCAAAAGCTGGAAGGTCCATGCTAGCTTGAAATCACATTTCTATGATGCTTCAAGTTTTACTCCTGAAATGCTTCTAACACACGTAATTTTACTTCAGTAATGAAAAACCTCAGGAGCAGCATTTCCACATCTGTCGTAATAGTTAGATATGGACACACTTGATAATCCTCTAAGTTTCACTTATCTAGCATATTTTTACCTAATCAAAGGACATCTACAGGTATTGCTTCTAAAATTTGAAATCTGCGGATTTTCAGCTTGTGACAAACCAGAGACATTTTCATAATCTCTGAATTTCTTGATGTCTTGCTTCATTACATTACCGTCAGAGTAAATAAATATAACAAGCAATAAAAAAAAAAAGTATTTCTGTACACAATGTACAAACATTCACCATGCAACACATCATGCTTGATGATACATAGTCTGAAGAAAGTCATATCTGAATTTTCCCTTGCCTTTGTGTCCCTGTACCATTAGTACAGAACACTAATCCATCTCCTTCAGTCACATATAATGTAGACCCTACAAATGATCTAATCTTAATGAAGCCATTCTCTTCTGGCTTCAGCTGGAGAAACTCCAGTCACTTCAGAGCCTGACTATGCTAGAGAGGGGGTCTGGCTCTGTGTCAGGTTCTTGAATCATTTGCAAAGGATTGCTTATGTCACTTTGTTATTTTCCTTATCACAATGCAGTGAGAGATCAGGTTCCACAAGTCAGTAGCAGCTCCCAAAGTTTCACACTCAGGTCACTGCAATTCTTGCTGTCCAACAGTGTCAATTACGAAAAGGACACAAATGCTTCAGCAATATCTGGTTTTTGTTTTTACCTAGATGGTGGATGATAGTCAGATTCATAAAAATCTGTAACTTTTTCAACTTTGCTGAATTATAATAAAATGTCTTGGAAATCTTTTGGGCTTATTGAGCAAACAGATCAAGGCTAAGTGGAAAAATTCATTGATTTTAGAAAGGAAATGTGGTCAGTGACCTAGGGTTAATACAAGTGCCTTATGACTGCTGCTGCTGCTGCTCCAGCGGACCAAGCAGAGCAAGCAGATAGTTGCCTGAGCTACATCAAGGCAGTTTCCAAATTACTCAAACATCTATTGGTGATGGGCTCCCAACACTGGCAGCCTCATAAAAGAAAGGGACTTTGTACCCTGATCCTTTATGAGGAACTACAACAACAGAGTTAACAGAAAAACACATCAAAGCCAAAAATTACATCAGACAGACACACTTTTTTCAGGCTCCCAGTCCAGGTTTCTTTACAGAGCTAGACAGTTGAGTTGAGACTGCAAACACAATTAGTGTGATTAGTGCACAAGGCTTTCAGTCTACCTGTTTACATTTCTCTTCCAAGTTTCCTTCACCAGGCCCTGAGGAGGCTGTAGTTGTCCTAGCTGGCAAATCCTCACCCACCCAACTATGCATCGTCTGGGTTTGACAAACAGGAAAGTTGGTATTATTCAAAGAAAACATAGATTTCAACTCAATCACCTAAACAATACACATGGTATCTTTTTGCAGAAGAATTTTGATCAATTTCTTGCTTCATTTCAAGTAATGGAAATTAATAAAAAAAGCATTATTTGACGCCATCAGAAGAGCATTCCTTTCGGCAGAGGGCAGCTGAAATTAAATTCAAAATTAAATATGGCCACAGCTCTCAGGCTTACAGATCATCCCTTAGTTCTTCTACAAGGCATTGCTTTGGCAACCTCCTGGTGGCCTCCACAAACACCTGAAAACCTCTGCTGAGGTGCAGAGCCTAGGCAGTGCTGAACTGGGATGGCACTTGCATCTGGCCAGCCAGAAATGTGGGAACTGCATCTTCCTGCACCTGCCTTCACAGATATCTCTAAGTTCAGAGGAAGTTATGGTTAAAAACTTGCAAACTCCTGTCTCCAGTCTGAACATCAGTCTGATGGACCAAGCCTGCTTATAAATGCCTTTTATCAAGTGATCCGTCTGGGGAAGAGCCTCACCAACATCTACTCACTTTTGACAAACACAATTATATTCTGAATGCATCACCATCCAGTCTAAGAAAAATGTGGTTTTCAATAACTTAAGGCACAATGGAGCAGAGAAGTTCTCTCTCATGTCACTTTGATTTATACTAAACTGCAGATCAAACAGAGATCCACTGAGATCAAGGGGCAGCACTTGCACATTAGGCAGCTTGCATTAGCACACACTGGCACGTGGCTGCAATTCTCCAATGAGTAGCTGGTGTTAAGTGAGTTATTCACATCTACTGAGAGTTTGCAAGCTCTAAACAAGTGTTATTTCAGTGTACTTTCCAGCAGACAATTAAGTATTTGCTGGCACTGAACTAACAAACATCTACCAAACCAAACCTTCTGCTTGTTCCTTTTGCAGGCCTAGAATCAGATGAGCAAGGACATCCACATTACAGACATGGCAATGTGAGGCACAGTGACCTTAGCAGTTCATACATAATCCAAGCACGTTAGCTTGAGTACAAGTTTTTAAACACACAGTTTTCCCAAAACACTTGTATTAGCATATGCTGTTCATACCCACATCCTGAAAAGGAAGAATTAGTTTAACAGATTTAAATACAGAAACAGATTAAATCCATGTTGCTACCCTGTTTTACACAGTACATACTTTATACATCACAAAAGGCTCTTACAAGTCAGAGATAGTTGCATTACAAGTGTCAAAGGCACCTCAGAAAAGTGACAGCAAAAAAGATGCAGCACCAAACCACCACATGTTTGGATTACTGTTCTACAGCAGATTATGGCTCATAAGTGCTGTTGTTTTGTGACCTGGGCTCAGAAAAGACCATGGCAAAAATGTTCATTATTTCTTGAGAATCAGACATGACCCCAGAAATCAAGTTTGATGAAGGCTACCCTGAGTAACTTTGCTGACTAGAAAACGGCAGTTGTTGCAAAAACAGGTTTCAGGATTAGAAACATGCTACCTTTCATGAACAACTGAGAAACTTTACTTATAAACTTGGCATGACAGAAGTCTGAATTCTCAGGCAAAAGTTCCTACATATAAACTAAGAAAGAAGAAGAGCTAGTGAAATTATATGGTTTGTAATGAAAACATGCACTTTAATCTGCATGGGTTTTTGAAATGCTAGAGGAAGTATGGCAGAATTATCTGTCACACTGCAAACAGCTCTGCCATGCAGTGCTGAGGTCTAGAGGTAAACATCACCTCTAGACTTGATTTTCAAAATAGAAACATCACCTATACCTGTGTAGGTGTGTGAGTGCTTATATAAATGGCACGTACACACAGACATATTGTGCACAGCTACAGAAGTGTGACTACACGAATTCTGGTAAACCATTCCTTCTCTCGTGTTACCACACACTCACTCTTCCAACAAACAGAGTAAGTGCAGAGTATGTATATTCAAACTGCTTTCAGTTTAAGGAAATCCACCATGCTCCCAACAAACACATCCCATTTTCAGGCCACTAACAGTGGCTGAAAGCCATTTTCCTTACACTGCGTACACTAAAAACATTTGGGCTCTCATAGCTCTGCAGCATCAAATTCAAAACAAACAGAAAATTAGGGATACTATTTTGGAAACACAGCTAGGACACAGAGATCCTTTTTGTTCTAATAGCTTTGATTCAAGTAAACACTACTGTCCACCAGGTGCCTTTTTTCATGTATTACACTATTTTTCCTAACACTGACAATGTTTTAAATGGCTGATAGAAGTTCCTTTGGGCATTTTCACTGAGTTTGACTTTTTCTGGAATATTCTTTGGCTAAAAGGCTGTCCTCAGCAATATGGACATAGTCTTATTTAAGACTTCATAAGCCTGAAATGAAATCCTAACGCCCAGTGCTCTGGTAACTCTGCTCATCGTGGAGTCCATCAGATGCACAAGTGTGGTGTAGGAATACTGCAAGAGTGCTAGAGAAACCTCTGACCCAGAAAGGCAAGGGCCTGTGGCTGGAGAGTACTAACCTAATGTGCCATTCACAAGCATTTCTGCAAATGTCCTCTTTGCCACTGCTACTGTAACAGGCCATGACAAACATGTTAATTGTGTTTATTGAGTGTTCACTGCTCAACACCAGTACCAATAAGCAATGCCATTTCAGCTCACTGAGAGGCTCTGAGAGTGCTCTTACACATCTGTCCCAGAGCAGCTGAAATCAGACTGATGCTAGATCGATGATTAAAACTTCCAAGAGTTTCTAGAGGTCTCATGGCATCACCATGCAAAGGAGGCTAATTCCCTTTCCTGTACTGGTCCTCCTAAAAGTGTTTGCTTTCCTGTCACTGGTCCTCCTACAGATATCAAAGAAATATTTTATCTAAAGTTTCTTGATCAAGGCTTCACTCATAGATAGGTTTTGCTAATCAATATCAATATTTCTCAAGAGATGACCTTGAGCATTACCAGTTAAAGAAGTAAATACATCTTCATTGCCTAGTCAGCTTATGAAGTGTCTGTTGGCCTGTATTTTCCTCTCTGAAATCTTCCTCATCTTCTTCATAATTCAGAAACTGTTCCTCAATCAGTTTTAGTGAAAAAAATCTGATCCCAAACTCATTTTCTTTGAATATCCCTCAACTTCACCTGCAAATCAGTGGTAGCAATCCAAGGAGGGCCTTCCTCAAGGTACTCTCAAGGAAGGCTTTGTCTTCATGAAAATTAGAGCAACACAAGCACCTTTCTGGGCTTTTTCATTCAGTGCAATGAATTTGGTTTTTCTTACCAAAACTCATCCAACTGTCTGTATTCAAGGGCAGCTTGCAGTGACAAGAGGGGCAGTTGAAAGAAAAAGTTTTCCCGGTTATGTAAGTGGAAGGCAGAACGTGATGTACACGTGACACAAGGCTGCCCATAACATGTAAAAATGCCTTCAGGCTTGTAAAATAAAACCACCATTGGAATGTTTCATCAACAAAGAAGCCAGCCAGGATATTTGGAGCAAAGGAAAAAATTTCTTCTGCCCTGAGATTAGTAGTCCAAATACCAATCAGGCAATACAGAGCTTGTTATTTATCATTAAGACCAGAGCTGGGCTGATTAACAAGATGGTAAGAATTGTCACTGGCCCTTCACCTCAGGAGGCCTCATTCCCCTTCATCCTGTACAAAGTCTTCCTAAACACTAAGATCCTGTGTGCCCTCACAGCTGATTCCACACCCACAAATTCTGAGCACTCATGTTAAACAAAAGTTTCCATTCAGACAAGCCTTGGACGCGAGGTTCCTCTAGGCTTTGGCCAAAGTCAAATGAGAAGCCTTATTCTAATTTCCATTCTCAAATTGATGGCTCCTTTCCAGGATCAAAGTATTTTCCCACACAGAGCCCATGCCTGTCATCCAAATTCAATCAGCACTTTACCTACGTAGGGATTGCACAACAACTTTGCTGGCAATATTACTAATAGAATGGTGAAGTTACTGATTTAAGATGTCCTCACAGACCAGTCATCACAGTACTGGCATTGCCACTGTGTTACTTTTCTGTGTGGTAATTAAATGCCTTTTGTAAAATTATTTCATCAAATCTTAAAACAATTTCCAGAGGAAAATCAGAACTAACACCCTGCTACAGCAGGAAACAAATCAGTGCAGAGGAAAGCCAAGTATCTCACACAAGGTTAGATGCTACTGCAGTCAAAATTACAGCTTGGTTATCTGAAATCCTGATCTGTGCCCTGCCCACTGATAAGCTCTGCTTGAGAAAAAAGCCACGAGCTGGCTGCATGTGCAGGAATCACCAACAGGTGCTCCCCTCATGATGGAACCACATCCCATCCAGGTCTCCAAATGGCACTGCAGGACCTGCTCCTACCCTGTGGCTTTTGTTCAGCATGTCCTCACTTTTGTTCAAATGTCCTCACCTTTCTTCCAGCACTGCTTGCAGGAAGTGAACCTTAAGCTGAGTGCAGGGTAAACACCCAAAATACTAACAATCTTTAAAACAAGACAAATATTTACCTGTAACACATTGCAGATCACCTTATTTTAAATCTACAGCTTGACAATAATTTTAACTGCACATACTCATGGTTACTATCAGCAGTTTAAATGGTTTCTGCCCTGAGAGGAAATCCCAACATTTTGTGAATGCACACTTTAATATCAGCTGCATGTTCCTCATAGTACATCTCGTTCTCCTTGTGATAACAGAGCTTATGTTTTAACTACAGATGTCATTTCATACGGGACCATAAACTGCTTTATGCAAAACAGCATTTCTTTTGACTTTTTTTTATCTCACTAGCTACAAAACATGAGCTGCAGCTCAAATTGTGTCAGATTGGTTAAGTGCGCTCATTAAGTGTGTTTAAGTGTTGTCACAAGAAAACACAAAGTTATTAATAAAGCTGTAGCATTCAGTTTGAAAAGGTTTTTGGGCTAAATTACTTTTTTTTTCTGTTTTTCCCCAGAGCTTTAACATTATGTGGCTGGGACCTCCAACACCATCACACATAGTAAGTAGTAGTAATGGACAGACTATCACTAACAAAAGGATAATCTCAGTATAGACTGAAAATATAATCAGTTCTGTTCTTGAACATATGCCTTGATTGCTATTACAGGATCAGATCTGCATGACTAATTGCCACGTGCACACAGCAGCCACATGCCTCCCTCACTGACAGACATCACCAGTGTGAGGAAGTTTGCTTCATCTGCCTCTGCTCAAAGGTAAACCCCAGACAGAACAGCATGGCCACCACACACAGGTATTACTGGCATTGTGGTAGAATTCAGTAACTCAGACTTGGGTGAAGAGGATATTGGCTGTGGGACTCCATTTCTAGGGGGGAAGAGTCCCTGCTTCCAGGAGCAGCATCACTGTTCCACCAAGTCAGTCACCCCTGTGAACAGGACTGCACCACCCAGGAGCCCTCAGTACCATGGATGTTGGGCACTCTTGTCCACTGCAGGAGCTGAGTTCATTGCACTGGTAGTCTTAAGACCAGATTCCATTGAAAAATTATTTTTACACTTTTTACAGGCCTTTTGTGGTATTTCAATCACCTGAAGACAAAACTGATTCTTCTCCTTCTCCCCAATAATCTCCACTGCTGTCCCCAGGTTGTCACAGTATTTACAAGGCATCGTCTGCTTTGCATTTAGAAAACCACAGATCTTGAAGGCCACCATAATACCTTCCACAAGGGTGGAAGAAGACCCTTAAATGAATAACCTTGATATTTAAAAGGTACTACTTTTTTTCCCCAAGTTATATTGTCAGAAAAAAACACAGCAATATTTAATTGTGTTCTGCAGAACATTTCACCTGCTTAGATTTGCTCTTGATAATCCAATTCACTGTTGCATAATCAATTTATAAGTCTGTTAACTACAGTCCTGACAGAGATAATGGCCAATGATTGCTTGTAAATCCTTAGCTGCACCGTTTCTTCTAAAGCTCCTGGTTTGTACTATGTTCTTAATAAAATCATAGTACAGCAATGGCATGATGAAATTAGGATCACCTCTGCATTTGTTTTTAGTAGCCTAAATTAGCTTAACTGTGTAATAATTTATTTGGAAACTACTGGCACCAAAGGCAAAACCAAGTCACATGCAGTTTTAATAAAAAGAATTCTGATTCAGTAATTACTTGTCAGCCCAAGGGCACTCGCCCAAGTATGGAGGTAAAGTTTGCTGAAAGTTTTGCCAGAGCTGTGCAAGCCGTTGGAACAGGCAGAAGCATGGACACCACACAGTGAGCACCTGCTCCCCACAGCCCACAGGGAACAGCAAACATCCAATTTTTCAGCTGCAGCAGATACTCTCTGCTTCCCCTTGCATGCAGCAATGATGACCCCTAATGGTGGAATGTTTCTGCTGCTGAGCAATATGAGGAGATTTGGCTTTTCAATGCATATTTCTACTTAAAATAATTACAACTACCCCTCACAGTCCAACAGCAAAATAAACTGCTTGAGATTCACCTCAACTGTAACACAGTTACAGTTGAGGTGAATCCCTGATCAGTTCTTTCTGACTTTGGACATGGAAACATTAAAATGCAAATCCATATTCCAGCTCTAAGTCCAGAATTTTAAGTACCCCTCTTTTCCTGAGGGAGACTATCTTACAGAAGCAAGTTTAAGTTATAGTGCTGTGAATAATCCCTACAGGAAGTCTTCAGAAAAGAGAATGTTACTTTTTCCCCCAGAACCAACCATCTGTATGTGGGCAAGCAAACAGCTCATATGCCCAAACAGCTTCTTTGAAGCCTTCCTTCAGCTGCTGGATAATGCTGCACACATGTGTGTGGCAGCACATTTGATACCAAGCAATCTTTTCATCAGAATCAAATAAAAGTAATTTTATTATTTCCAAAGTTATAAAATTCCATGTTATTCTAGTATTAATTCAACATTTTATTTGCATATAATGTAAAGTTCTCATGCAATTTTTACAATCTGAAATTATTAAAATTAGGCTGGGATTTTTAAATCCCAGTTCATCGCAAAGCCTTTAACTCCTGCTGGAAGTAGAAGGTAATTTTAAATTGTGTTACAGATGCCAGCTACATAAAACTAAGTCTTGCTTTTCTCTTGGGAGAGATGAGTATCACTACCTGTCCCATTTTAGCTTGCCTGACACTTGCATCAAGAGCAAGATAAAGAACAAGGTAACTATTACCCAGGCCTGACCTAATTGTGTCATTTTTTTCCAGGTAGAGATAAACACACAACACTTAAAAGAGAAGGGTTGAGAGCCCCTGGCAGCTTACTGATTTGTTTACTTTCTTTTAACAACATTATAACACTGAAGTTGTGCTAGCTTTCAGGCTACAAAGCACAAAGCCTTCACCTAAACAAAATACAAACCTAGAGATATTGCCAGAATGCTCAAGAAAAAGCACATTTTCAAACCATGATCTCTTTTTGTATGGTCGTAGTAGATAAAGTCACACAAGCAAAAAATATATGAAGACATGCTTCAGAATTGTGTGTGGGCTGAATCGACAGTTTTGTCTGGACAGTGAGGTATGTAAAATCAGGGCTTTTTAAAGTTGGAGTCTGATCACTGAACTTTTCGCTACCTTTATGACAGGTTGGTTTGGTTTTTTTTCTCCTTCCTGAAGAGTAATAATTACTACAAATACTTCATTGTCCTGGCTTACCTTTCTCACATCTGAGCTCTTTGGTTCTGTAGTCCAAGTTATAATTCTAGATACAGCAAGTCTTGTCTCACTGGAATTCACAAAGTCTGTTGGATCCATCTGTCTTGCCAAGGACTCAATATACTTCAGGATAGCAACTTTGACCTGAGAAATGCAAAGGGATTTGTGAAGCTCAGCAGTTGGCAAAGATGCATTTTTTCCATAGGAACAGATCCCACTACAGACTGACAAGACTTACATCACATGGTGGGAAGGAAGTATTCCTGGAACATGTCTCCAAGTTGCCAATATAATTTCTATGTCATGCACACAATACAATTACCTGTTCATGAGTTCTATGCTTTATGGCATGCCTGACATGACAAGTAAGACAAGCACATTGATGCTTTAGTGAAACAGCTTTTGATACTGACCTTCAGGTTTGGTGTCTGGGTCTGATCTACAATAAACCTCATCAAAATGTTAAACTGTTGATCAAATGGAAAAGAATCCCTGTGCAAAAGGAACAAAAGCAAAAATGTAATGTAACATAAATGAAATTAACTCAGTACCTCAAAGCTTACATGGCAGATTTCAACACACTTTTCTTCTTGGTAACTTTACCATCAATAAGAGAAACTCTAAGCTTAAGGATTAATAGTTATTGACACAACACTGGAGAAAACTGCTAAATCAGTATCTCTGCACAGTGTTACTCTACTGTCTGTACACTTCTGTGGGCATGCCTGTCCATTTCATTTCAGACTCTGCTTTCTTCCCTTATCTCTAGAAGCAGCTTGGTTTATCTTGTCCTTAGGGTTCATACCTGGTTTTGATCTCTCTCCTCCTTTTTCTCTACTATTTTCTCCTAGATGATTACTACTTTTTCTTTTCTTTTTTAATTATCCTATTTCTAGAATGAGCCAAACTTTATTGTAATAGTGTCCTGTGCTGGACATCCTTTGCAAAGCACATGGAGTACAGAACTGGTGTAAGCACTGCAGTAGCATTCAAGGTCTTATTGACCTGATATTTGTGTCTGAACAAGACAAAAGAGGTGCTGAACTTTGTGGTAAAGCACCATTCATATTCTCAATACTGCAATTTTTTGAGTACCTGTCAATCAAAAAACCCTGATACTTGAGCATATACCCCACAAATTAAAATTAATCCATCATATATTTTTAAATTTATGCTTTAAAGTTATTTATTTAGAAGAGAGACAGGCCTTTTAAATTCAATACTTGAAATACTGTGATGTAACTTTGTTTTCCTTTATTCTCATATTCATCAAGACTGAGACCTCAAAATACACAGCACTGCTGGATTTCTAAAATCACACTTTCCTGTAATCCCAAAAAAACCTCAGCTACATTTGCCACCTGAGTACTCTACCTGGTGACATCCAGAGCTTTTTGAACTTTTGCCTGCACAGACCCCAACAAATCTGCTCCCATTTTCTTTAGCAACTGGGTCAGGAGAACAAAAAGCCAATCCTGCAAGTCGTCTTTATGAATGATGATGAAATCAACCAGGGTTTCCAGAAACATACTGAAGACCTATAAACAAAACAAGTGTCAGAAATAGAAATACAGTTCTTAAAATAAAAAATATTCAAATGGGAAGGGGGTTTACAGTCTGAATTTCAGAATGATTTTGTTATAAGAGTTTCATGAATGAATGATTTTAGTGACTACATTGCTCTGGAAAAAAAATCAGACAAGACATGTCTAAAAGGTGTTGTATTAAAATACCACATGTAACAAATGAATGAAGGAAGGAAGGGGTAGAAAACACTTACTCTCTGTTGTGAATTCCACGGCAAAGCAGGCCATGCAACAAAACAAACCACTCGTTAGCACACAGAGTGATCAAGGATGCAGTTTCTCAACAGATAAAAGACACATTCATTCCAAGTTTACATTTTCTTAAAACACAATCTTTTATTATATGACTTGGATCAGATTCACTCTCCTCAGTCAAGAAATTAACATATGTTTATATACAGTTCTATGAACAAAGCTATGTGTGTTTAACATCACAACTAATGAGTTTGTATCAGTAATTCTACAAAAGCAGTGAAGATGACAGATCACTGCTGCTACAAAGGACATACTTGAGCCCAGTGTGCAATAGACTTGCCTTACTCTGAAATTGGAATTATTTTGCAAACAAATAATTACACCTTCGCCCTTTCTACTACACAAACCTTGGGGAACCAAGCACTAAGAACTTACAGGTAGGTACTACAAGCTTGGTGAGACCTGTGGGACAGCTGGTCCACCAGTATAATTAAGGCAAAAAATGCACATTTGGAGCAGGACCTATGATGGGCTACTCTGCCTGCCCATGGAATTTGCACCCAACAATAATTTATTAACACTGGTTTATCAAGAGGTCTTAAAGTACAAAGATTTATACAACTTGTTCTTTTTCAAACTGCATTTAACCCAACTGCTGATGTTTTTACACAGCCATACTGATTTTCCTCAACTAGCAAAACTCAAAACAGGGCATGAAATTCCATATTCCTTTTTCCCTGCTCCTCCTTAGCTGTCCATAGCAATCCAGTAGTCTTGAACATGCTTATGGGCCCTACCTCCCCATTCTGTGGCCCACTTCCTCTTAAGAAACATCTGTAAATTCATGCCACAGCCTTTAACTTCAAAGGTCAGTGTTTTAAGGAAGGCAAAGTAGCTATATCAAAGACCTTGATTATGGGAATCAGAATAGTATCTTGGTGAGGCACCTGCTCCCAGGTGTACACAACACACAAACCCCAGTGGCTGTGATGCTCATGACCCCTAATGGACCACTCTTCCCTGTGTATCAGAAATACACCCTAGAGAAGTGCAAATCAAACTGAACTCCTGGCTCCAGGAGGTGTCCTCTGAAAGGCATTAGGCTGCTCCTCAGGCAGCACGGAGTAACCAGCTCCTAGCAACATAACAGAGACTGAGACACATCCCCTCCTCGTAAAACAAATGCAAACCAAGGAGATTTTTAAATGCCAGTTTTCCCCAGCAGATGGCAGGGGTAGAAATAGAAACCACTCATCTTAGAACAGTGCCAAATGTGCACACACAGTAATGTAGGAGAGCGAGCCAAGGCTTTGTGATCTTACCTTGCTGTGAGGGTCAGCAAACATGCGAGTAAATATTTCACACAGCCTTTTTAACTCGACTCGGCTAAAATACATAAATAAAACACCACATTAATGCCAAAGTTTTAGTTGCAGGGAAAAAAAAAAAGGCAGCTAATAAACATTAACAGCTGAAAGATCTAACCTTCTTTATTTAAATGTTACTTTGGTCACACTTCTGAAAACTTTGTAGATCTAGGCAAAGCCTTTACTGGCACTTCAGTTTAACTACTGGGATCACCAGTTCTACACTAAAAATCTAATAAACATTTATTTTTTAAAATCTTGAACCAGACAATTTTATTTTCTGCTGCTTTCATTTTCTTCTATATTCTGGATTCCAGAAGACAACTTGAAATGTGCACATTTGCAAGGGACTTAGTTTCTGTCTGGGTCAAGGCTGTGAATCACTGAATCATGCATATTTTTTTTCCCCTCCTTAAAACCAGGTTTTTCAAGTCTCCTTTGTGTCAAGGTTTTCAAATTTTCAAGTAAAATCAGAACTTTCTGGTTATATACTAATCATCTTTTGGGTTAAATTCCCAGTTGCTTCAGTAGTATCAGTCTAAAATCACAGATTATTAAGAGATCAGAACTGACTCCAAAATCTGACAGCAGGCAGGCACACTGAGGAGCCAAACATATAGAAATGGAAGAGACATTAACAAATGGCCAACTATTAAATCAGCAGATAATTACATCAAGGAACTATCTAACTCCCTATTTGTAAGAGATTATTAGCTGCTCAGCAGTGCTCTTTTTATGGCAGGGGGGAAGAAGAATGATGCATGAGATACTGAGTTGGAGTCAAATGCAGAAGTCTTTGGTGCCAAAGCTCTTATCTGCAATGTATTGAGAAGTCTTAGCTTTCCTGCAAAGCAAACTGGCAAAAAATACAGAAGCTCTTCTTGTTTATGGTGCAAACAAAACCAGAGCAAGGCAGTTAGGTTACATTTCCTGCATACTACAGATGCAAACAGACTTTTTTCACAATTACAATGAAACCAGAGCAACTAGTGAAATGAACACTGACTGCTCAGAGAAGACTTATTGAAGATTTTGACTACAGGGAATGTATTTCCAGAACAACATAACTACAATTCTACACCAACTTCTCTGTTTCTAAAAATAATCTTCGAACAGGCCAGAATAAGGCAGTAGCCTACAGATGCTTTATGTTAGATTGTTTCTAAGTAACACAGGACTTTTTTTTCCCCCAATAAATCTATGCATGAAAGGTTGATTAAATTTTAAAAGGGCACAAAAGCAATGGGTTTAAGAGACTGGTAGGGAGGGAAAAGTCTTTGTAACAACATCACAGCAAACTGTCAGCTTAATTCAGGGTGAGGCTGCACAGGCTCAAAATTACCACAGCATTCTCCTGACATCATGCAGATTGCAGGTCTCTGAATGAACCCCTCTTTATTACTCTAATGAATTTTCTTTCTGGACAAAGGTTATATAAAGTCAGCAAGTATATGTGTGACTGTTTCTAAAAGCTCACAGACCCAACGTAACAATGCAAGTCAACAGCAGTGGAAGAACATTTTCTTAAGGGACTCATTTGCCTTGTTTTATTCAGGAGACCTTATGGGGAGCCCTTCAAAAAGTAGGCCACATGAAGCTGTATGAAACAAAGAGGATGGGTAAGTGCCATTCTACTTTGCATGCACATCTCTGGATATGCAAATCCCAGCTAACACAGGATCAGCCATCTTTCAGTTCAGAATACTAAAGAAAACCCAGCCACATCACTGCCTCATTAATGTGTTTCACCACAACAGAAGGCATCAGGTTTAATTACAAGACAGACCTGCCCCTTGGACTAATGACCTTGATGATGTTCTCAAGATGCCGTGGGAACAAGCAGGATGATAAAATCTAATCATTAGAACAGGCACCAGATCAACTCTGAACCAAGGAGGAAGCAGATCAAAAGAAAACCAAAATGAAATACAGAGAACTAATCACAGTATTATATTAAAAAAAAAAAGAAACTGCACAGAGGTGTAGTTTCTGGGACAGATTTAAAAATTATTCAGGATCAAAGCTAAGACAACTTGCTAGCTTGAGGGACTGGTGACAGCACAGCTCAAACACTACAACCAGCAGGGCTGAAATCAAGAGTTTAATTTCACCAGTATTTCTGCTAAGATCTACTGACCTGGATAAACAGCCCATCTCCAAAACTTCTCAGTGCTTCCTTCCTTGCAACTGTCCCCAGCAGCACTCCAAACCTTGCTTATAACCCTCACACACTTTTGTGGCAAAATCAAAATCTCTCCCAACTTTTTCATATAAGTAATGAGGTGCCGCAGTTTTTCCATGCAGTTTGTTAGAGAAAGAAAAAAGACAGCATACGTGGTGGAAGTATCTTTTAAGAGACTCAGAAATAGACCACATCAAAAAGCATCTCTGATCTAAAGACTCTGACTACCCATTTTCAAAACCTGTAGCACTTCCCATTTAAGGCCTGTATCACATCATGTGAAGTGCTAGAATATTTTTATAATGGCAAGAAACCAACTTTTCCAGGCCTGCCATCAGTACACTTTTATTCAGATTGTTAACATGAACCATGAAATTCTTTTCAGCCAGTGTGAAGCCCTTTCAAAATAGAAACAATTGGACAAACCCAAGTAGGGAGGCTCTAAACAACCACTTATAAACTTGACTATAATTTAAGTACATGTTATTCATAACAGAAAAATAGTCACAGCTGTTTGTGAATGTTACTTTCAAAGGAGCCAAGAGATAAACAGCTTATTTCAAACACTTTCTCCATAAACTCAGGGTGAAATATCTACAGCCTGAGAGCCAGTTGTCCAGTTAATGTGACCTGTGGCCATAGGGAGTTTCCAAATGACTTTTGGATAATTCTGAGACCTACTGGGTAATTCCAAAACCTCTTCAAAGGCGTGATGTGCCAAAGGTGTTTGAAGGGGTTACGTGGTTCTCAGCAAGGGAAAAAGGTCTCCCTCACCTACCATATGCAGTTTCAGAGTTGGTACACGTACTTCACAGCCCTAAGAAATTTCCCTCTACATTACACACTACACCATTTATAAGACACAAGTTTCTGGTATAAAATTTTTCAAGAGTTACAAACAAGATCTGTAATTACACCTAACACAGCCTTCATAAAGAGTCAAAGTACAGCCAGCACCAGCACTGTCTGATCTCAGCTTTGAAACACACACCCCGAGTCATTTTACAGTAAGTGCAATGTTTGTTTCATAACTAAATTGCCATGGGAAAAAATACTGAAGCTTCAGACTAACGTAAAAATGGCACCATCGTTTGAGTATGTTTACAACAGCACCACTGGGAAATCTCACTGTGCTACAACAAGCACCTACCACTGGAGGTCTTCATGAGATGGATGAAGGCTAAGAGAAGACAGCATGCTTACCTGAGCCTTTCCTACACTACTGACACAAATTATACTGACGACACAGCAGAAACCTTCACAAAAGTTAACTGCAATCCCACATTGTGGAGACAAAGCCTTCGCAGCCATGAAGACACTACCTGTCTCCATAAGGCAGGTACATAATACTGCCTTCTGGCTCTAGTCATCCCCAATGAATTATTGCCACCAGAAAACCATGAAGTCACCTCAGTGTCCGTTGGCTTTTCAGCAAATTCTGAAGACCTATGAGCCCTTCTTTCCTTTCAGACCAGTTGGAGCTGGCGCAGTGGTTCAGGACCTCAGCCACATCTTCAGTCTGGCGCAGGTAGTGCGGAATGCCCCCATTCCTGGAGCCGTAGGAGCGCTCCGAGCAAGCGCTGGAAGCGTCGCTGTTGGCATCGTCATCGGAGTACATCCCGTAGGGCTCATACCTCCTTCTCACCGGCTTTTTCTGGAAAAGGGGAAACTCCGACTTAGCAAGTTATATATGTAGTTACATCGAAGCCGAAAGAAAAACATTCTATTGGGAATCACTAAAAACAAGATTAGTGCTACTGGTACAGTGACTGAAGTGTTTTAAAGATGTCACCATGCATTGCCTGCTTACCTCTCACAGCAGTGCAAGACAGAGCCCACTGATTTCAATGAGTCTGGGTGACTCAGGGGAAGAGAGCCTGCCTTCCCCAGCATGAAAATGATGTATTTATGCCCAGTAGAATTAAGTTACTGGTAATGAAATTAAATACAATAAATGTACTGGCAATAATGGTCAGTTTCATTGTTACACATACTATGATGATACAACCTCTACTTTAAAAAAAATAAAGATAAGGAAGAAACAGCTGAAAGAATCTGTGCTGGCATGCCCAGTCACTTTGATATCAATACTGAAGTGACTCTAGAAATGCACTGGATATGGGAGATAGCAATTTCTCTGTTAGTTTGGGCTAGGATTCTTTCCAGAGGCTGCTAAGGGAGTTGAGTACTCAAATCCCACTCATTTCCATAGTGTGGCATTATAGGACCTAATTCCCTCAGGTACATCTTTGACTGCCTTGATCCTTACAGAAACAATAGTAGCGTAATTGGCAGCAAAAAAACCTCTTAAATAAACCCTAAAAGAACAGGGTTGAAAAGATAATGTATATAAAAAAAAATCTGTATTTTAAAGTGTTTGCTACAGAATTCTTTCCAGTGTCCAGTCCTGCAGATCTTGGACTTGTGAAGCCAGCAGAATTTTGCTTCAACTAGGACTGGAGGATTGAAGCATAGAAATTAACTCACGTGCAGTATCATGGGCGTTAGCAACAGGGTGGGGATAGTTGGAAAGTAGAAATAAAAAGTCAAGAAAGCACTAGTACCTTGCTCCTGGAGTCTCCTAACAGCTGTAGGCAGGAAAATATTGAAGGGTGGGAAAAAGCATAGAGAATTATGTCAGAAGCTTATGCAGGGTTTGATTTTGCAACAAAAACGTATAGCAAATGTGTCTTAGCAAATTAAAAAAAAATACAGTTTTTGCAAAATAAAAGTGGGTATAATAATGCCTGACTTTATCTCCTAACTGTTGCACTACTCATACTGGCTACAATTTCCCTTACGGATCTCAGAAGTGAGAATAAACTGTTAAAAACTTTTTTAGGAACAGATCTATATTCAACACCTCTTTTCTTACTTTTAAAATCTACAATGAAAGATACCAGAGATTTTGGTAGTGATTTCACTTTCCCCACATATTACTAGCAGCGTTTCATTTTAGAGTCTTGCAAAAAAATTCTGATGTGAGGAAGCTGCTATCTACAGTAGAGCACACTTAATAAACTTCACTTGCCAAGTTCTCTTTCAACCCACAGTTCATACAGCACACTGTTTTGAAGATTAGCTTCTTTTAAGACCCCCTGGTTGGCACCACTGGCTTAAAGGCCTTACTTAACAGCAAAGTTTCCATCACCCTTTGAGCTCTTCTGACAGACCCAAGAACTGATTCCTAGTACTGACACTGTGGGTTTAGGCCAAGTCCAGCTCAAACAGAAGCAGTGGATCCAACTGGAATTCTACACAGGGAGTAGAGGTCACAGAATGACCCACCGTGTTTTGTTTCAACTGAGGATTTGGCTGAAGCCATCTTCTTTTCATTTCTTACTACATGGAAAAGACAACTGTCTGAAAACAAGGTACTGGGTAAAAGCTGGCATCACAACACTCTCTCAAAAGGAGCCTGCACAGGCTTTGTAAGTTGCCTGTTGTCAGAAGGCAATGAAGAGAAAACTGGGGTGGTGGGAAAGATGGGATCAACAAGATTGTGTTGCATCTCCTAAAGCTGTACAAATTCAGATTGATCAACCAAGTCAGCAGCACCAGCTAGTTTCCAGCTAGACCTGAGTATTTCCTTTTTAAGTGTTCAACCCTTCAAAATTTTAACATTTCAGTTTAATGTTACTTAACATCAAAGCTGGAATATTTAAAAGAGCACTCTAAGTCTTGCTGAAGATTAAGTCACACCCAAAGAAATCTCAGGGCTCAGCAGTCAAATACTGTGACACTCTCCTCCCTTAAGAAACCTGTATTCAGCAGCTGCTCACATGCAGGTATAAAACCTGATTTCATTTACACAGGCAAACCATTGTCTGTAATTATGTCCTGAACTGCTCTGCTAGCAAATTTGAGGTGCTGAGAGCAGAAATGGGCTCACAAGCTGTTACATTTGGTGATGAAAATGCTCACTAGTGATTCAGCCCACTAAATGCAACAATGTCATCCATTATACACTGCTCTACCTTTCTTAGTTCACAAATACTTTCTTTGTTTTAAAAGATAAATTTTGTAAAAAGGGCCATTTTTCTAGAAGTACTGTAATAGGTGCCATGAGCAGGGAGGTAATCAGACATAAAAAGGATAATGTTAGCCATCCTTGGGGAAGTGAACTAGGAAATGGAGAAAGGCCAACTACCACAAACACTGGCAACATAGTTCATCTTCCTTAAAGTGCATCTGAGACAGATTCTGAGAGATCTGTTTCAAAATACATCAGGAAATCCTTCCCTCATTCAGGTCACTGGAGAAGACCAATGGGTACCCAGCTAGCACTGTACAGTAATTTCTCCTGCCTCTTACACATCCTCGCTCCCCCAAATATTCGAGGTACATACAAAGGCTTATCATGTGCCTTCTGAAAAGCAGAAGACACTTTCTGGGTTCTATGCAAGAGTCACCATAGTACAATAAGATTATACAGGATAGCAACATTTTTTAAAATTACATAAAATTTACTAGGAAAAGCAGTCAATGTTTGAAAGTAACAGCAGCAAACTAGACAAGTACAATTCAACTTACACCATAACAGCATGAGATGGTACAGATTCCATGCAAGCCAGGTTATGAGCTCTCTGAGTATCTACCCAGGTGCAAATAACACAGGGCAGAAATTCGTTCTTTCTGAAACCTGATCAGGAATTGACACTAAGAGAACACTGTTTTTCTGACAAAACCTTCATGCAGGTAATAGGACTGATGGAAATCACCGACCCCACAAGTGCCAAGCACCATCACAGTGCTGGGCACATCCTCTGACAGCCAAGTGAAAGGCAAACAGCTGATCCAACCCATCCTGCAGCAGCTGTAGTACCAATCCACAGCACTCTGTCTGACAACAGCTGCAGAGAACTGACATGGAATCAGGAAAAATATACTGCTGCCAGTAAACCCAAAGTCAAACCAGCAAAAGGTAACTCTACAGCATCAGCCACTGGCACGATCAGAGTAAAGCTATTTAGAAAGAGAAGAACATACGTACAGGTAACTTTAAGCCACTTTCCGGTGCTGGAAGCATTTTGTATTTTTCCTCTTACCAGTGCATCGGCCACAGCAGCCTCCAGATCTGTGCTGGTGCTCAGGACTCGCATGGCATTCACAGAAGCAGGCATCCTGCCTGGCTGTCCGAGCCCAAACCGGTCTGCACAAAAGACAACAGTGAAAGGGATTGTTAAATGAATTCACATTCATTTGGAATCCTAATCAGGTGCCCGAGTAGTTCTCCCCACGGACTCTGGGAACTCACAGTGCTTTTCCATTAAAGGCCCTTTTACCCAGAGCTCCAAAGAGTCTGCCATTAGGGTGAGAAATAAACTATTGTTTGTTGGGCGTTGGAGGCAATTTTAGATCCTCAGGGCAACTTTTCATTTATTTATTTTAAGCTGGGAAGCAGGGTATCTATTTTCTGTTTCTTTTTACTCAGTTGTCTCAAAGTTTTATTTTAATGTCAGAGGCAGACATGCCCATCCCAATCTGGCACTCTCAAAAATCAAGAGAGCTTCTCATTAACTTCAGAGAGACAGAACCATGCCCAGTGTCAGAACATGTAAATACTTGAGCACTCATCTATCCTGCAGCCTTTTCTCTCAGGCAAGGATGTGAGACTAGCAGCACCACATTAGTCTATTTTATGTCTCAAGGCTTGATTAACCAGTAGAATACACCCCTACACCTTCACAGTATAAAAATTAAGTTAATAACTCACTTGTGAAGTGATTCAAATTTCTGGTTCTCTTGAGAAGTTTAAATTCCAGAGCTCTATATCAAAACTGGTTTTGAGCAGACAATCTCATCTTTTTTCCCTTTGAATTTGATGGCAAAGCTCTCAATGGCATCCAAAGCAATGGCATTGAGTCTAAAATGCCATTTACACGCCTAACATTAATTAGTTTACTTTATCATTTGCCCAGTTTACCAAAAAAGTTACTGAAATTACTTTTTTTAGCAAAGCCAAATTCAGAAAGGTCCACCAGCAGAGCTATGACAGAATCAGTAACTTAAGTATCACAGGTCAGATTCTGGCAGTGGAGTCCTTCTAGAGAGGGGCAGATCAGATATCAGATAGTGGGATCCTTGCTCTGGTCCATAAACAGAAAGATTGGTTATGATAGTCCAAGTTTTTCTTTCTGTGTGGGCTTGTGTTTGCTCATGGAAGACTTAGACTATCCCTCCTGGAATGTATGTTACACCTCTGTCCCTGTACCCACACATGCCAACAGGAGTTTTGCCAGCAAACTCAGTGGTGCATGGATCAAGCTGCACAAACCCATTTAAGAGACCTTCAGCTGATCCACATCAAGCAGCAGGAGAGAGGGGTCAAGTCACACAGGTCTTTTAATAGTTCATCTATATTTAATTTAACAGAGGAAAAATACTGCTTGTCAAATTCCTGAAGCATATTGTGGTTTTGCTCAAAACTGAGGCCAAACCTGGTATTCAGCAGCTTATATGTGTTTTTGGGGAAAACACTGCATATCACAAAATTTCATTGTTTTCTCCTTTATGAACCTACTGCACTGAAATACCTTTTATTGATTAACTCACACTGACATGAATCATTTATATCAGAGATTGAAGCTGGCCAGTTCTACTGTCCTAATTACACAGCTTTATTTGAGATTAAGCTACTGTGGGGAAATAGGGAAGACTTTTAAAGTACAAAGTATTTTGAAAAGGAAAAAACCCCTGAAGACTAATATTTCAAACAGAAGTGATACCTATCAAAATTTAATGTTTCGTAGAGTTACATACCCAGACAAGACATTTCTGATTTACAACAAAAGCACATTTTCTACAAAACACATTACAAGGGAAAAAAAAAAAAGAAACAAACTTCTTAGAACTACTGCCAAAAAGTAATCAAATAATGACATTTCACAAAGAAATAAAAGTTGTATGTGTTATTACTATTCCCTTTTTTAATGCACTTGGGTTGAAAATTAACTTCAAATATGAAGATGAAATAGTACTTTATTCCTAAAACGGAAAAATCTGTGCACACTTAACAGAAGCACAGAGATTATAATGCAGTAGGTCTGACTGAAAATGAAGTCACCACTACAGAGATATATACACTATAAAGTTGTACAGAGGACAAGGATTTTCCTAAGTATAAATGAGATCTGGTAAAGTACAAGGGCTGTAACTGTTGCGGTAAGTTCTGGACTTGGTTTTATATTTAAATCGAAACCAATTACATTACTCAAGTGTTACTGAGATCAAAATTTGGCTTTAACTCTTGAAACTACATAGCATGAAAAATACTACTGTCATTTGTTTTCTAATAAATTTAGTGTTACATTAGAAAAGGGAAGATAGTCGGTTGGGGTTTTTTTTAAATGAAGAACAAAATGACAAAGTAATTCAATTGTAGATCAGTTTAAATACCCAGCACAAAGAAACAAAATTGAGCTTTTTTTAACACATTAGGTACAGTGTGGCATGCTGGTTTCTATCTCCATGGCTATCAGCAATCTTCTGAACAACTCTGTTTAGTGATTTTTAAATTTACAACACCCAAGTTACTCTGGGCTTCTCCCCAAGACACTGCTGCCATCCTGGAGTGCTGAAATAAGACCACAGGAGAGACCTCAGTGTATCTCTGATGTGGGGCTGGGAATACACCTGGCTCCAGGAATAACCAGTACAGTCAAACCCAACGCTACTGGGCAAGAAATCTACAGATTATGCTCTGGCCACATTCCCTCATCTCCCTGGCTAGGTTCATTCATTATACTTGTTACAAACTTGGTGAAAATTTGCAACCATCATTATTAATCCTATTTTGCCATTTTTTAGAACATTTTGGTGCTCTGTCGTACACAGGTAATCACACAAAATTTGGTTATGCTTTGTACCAAAGCACAGGAGCCAAACATGAAGTGACTATCATAGGAAGCCAAAAGCAAACAAAGCTTAAATCTGTATTACAAGTGAGCTGTTTTAAATATTTTTAATTATTTTGATTAAATACAAATTCAAATTGTTATCTGAAAAATGCCAGTCAAATCAGCTTGCATAATTTCTATTGAGTAACATAAGGGAAATGTTTTGAGAGTTTTAGTTAAGTGATAGCCATTTAACTAGACTCATGAGAGACAGAGTATTTTTCACTCTCTATCTGAAGGGTTAATTAAGTAACTTTCAGTATAACAAATTCCTTATAAGATTTTAGCCTCCTAGAAAACACTGAACCCCTCATCTTCTACATTATCTTTGTCCCCACAATTAAGCCTCTGTAGTCCCAAAGCTAAACCTCATTCAATTACTTTTAAGATTCCCAGTAAAATATCCTTATTTCAAAAGGAATTATGGGTTCTCCACAACTGCAAACCCAGTACAGGGTAGGACAGAAGTAACTGGAATTTGCAGATTTTTCTCATTACATGTAACCATCAGTCACATTATGCAAAGCCCAGTGAAATTAAGCGATTTTTTTTTTCTTTCAAAAGCTTCCACATATTTTGGACAAGGCCTTGAGAATTATATGAAAGATGGATCAGCATGAGTTATGCTTCAAAGTTCATTCTGAAAGCTCATCAGGTGCTTAATTTTTGCTGCTGTTGTGTATTTTGGAGGAGATCTCATAAAGAATTTTCATTAATAGAGATAGGAGTCCAGAATATTTAGTAATAAATGGGATAAAACCCATTGGGATCCTATCTTAGGCAATGGAAAGTGCTACACTGCTAAAGAGGAAAAAGAATTTGCAAGTACTCTGCATCAGTCAGGATTTAGCCCATGCTGCACAACTGATCCAATTTACAGGAGAATTGAGAAAGCCCTGGATCACCCTTTGTTTAAACACTGTTCACAATGTTCCTAAAATACACCAAATTAAAAACATCCAATAAATGAAACTCAAAACAAAAAGCCACGTTGAACAAAACCAGAACAGAAAGCCCCGCAGCGGTGAGAAGCACATGCCAAGTGCTGGCTGATGCACACGATGGCAAATGTTAAGATGGTGTAAAACGAGACTACGGATAAGAAGCGGATTCATGCAGTTAGCGCTTGTTCACCTGACTGCCCAACAGAATCAGCAGTGGAGAGAGCACTAGTGGACCTGGAATGACGTCGAGAAGCTGCAAGTAGAAGGAATGGCAACACCCACAGGATTAACACACATTGAACCCGAGACAGAAAATGCCACAATCCGAAGGGGATGCGTGTGACCGCTACCGCAGAGGTGTTTCATAGTGACAGGGAATGGCTGCATGTGGATGCGCAACAGCTGCAGTGCGAGCCCCGCTGCGACGCCTCGCCCGCAGCTCCCCGCTGCCCCCGTGACCATTAACACAATGCATGACAAAATCATTTGGAACAGTCCCAGACTGGGTGCAGCCCAGCAAAAACACCCCGATGCACATCAGTCACGTTCCAGACCTGCAGGTCTGGCAGGCGGCCGTCACGAGAACGTGGAGCACGTAACTACAGAGCAGGGTTTAGATGAGTCTGATCTAAACCCCAAAGTGAAGCCATGAGGAATGGTTACGAATTGTGCTTGCAGGTATTTTTCCACAACATTCTAGCCTACGCATAATAAAATCAACGTTAACAAAGAGAATGCGTAACCACATAAGAGGAAGAGTCATACAGGGAGGTCACCAACCACTGTACAGGTCCTTGGGTTGGCTTCCTTTCCAAATGAACACACGTACACACATATTCAGGTGTTGCTACTTCCAAAGGTCCCTTGCTTTTAACAAATTTTGCATACATTTTTCTTGAACCTCAGTATGTACATGCAGAGCTAAGGAGAATATGCACATCACACACCCATCTAGAACGACACATGTATACAAATTGTTAAAAGCAATGGAGTGCACACAGTAGCAGAGGAGCCTAAGCCAAATATAGCTCCCACTTCAATTCCCAGTTGTTAGCAGCACATCAATCACAAAATGCCTTTGGAGAGGTTTTCAGTTCTTGGCTTCAGCATACAAGTGAGTTCTTTATGAAAGCAAATGAAAAACGGGCCCAGTCATTCCCAAATTACAGAAATTTTGTCTTTCTGAAGAAGTTTTCCCTATGTCTAGCAACAACATGCTCATCAGCTCAAAGCAACTGACCCAAGAAACCGATTGTTCATTTAAGCAATTCATCACCACAGAGTCACTGAAGGCCTTGCTGCTTTACCATCATAACTAGTACTGTCAAGAAACTGAAAAAATAAAGCAGAATCACCTTACAATACAAATAGGCTTTGTCAGTTATGCACATAATTGTGCAGCAGAAAATTCTACATCTTCTGTTTAAGGTAAAGCATTAAAAAAACACAGATACTAATGTAATGAAATAGGAATCAGCAACATGAGAAAAATAAAATTTTGTGGTTTTTTGACTTTGAGAGCTTCACTGAAAGCTATATGCAATATGGCCTTTGGCCATGGAGAACCCATGCATTTATTCAAGAGTACTATCCCACTGACATCATACGTAAACTCATTAAAGATATGCATGATCAGTGGAGGATTATGGACTGAACCTCACAATTAATGTTTGTAGGTCACAACTGCTTTCCCCCAAGCCATCCACTGTGCCCCTGTGGACACCACTGCAAGATCAAGATCCAGGGAGAAACAAGAATAACAAAAAAAATTCAAAAATCCCCATCTCTGCAAGGAGGCTGAATATAGATTCACTCTTGACTGTTTTTACTAACTTAGGAAGCAGGACTCATGACACACAGACATGTATGCCTGCACTGCAGCCCCAAAACAACAGGACGTCAGTGCTGACACTGACCACAATACCATTAAATGCAAAAATCTTGTCATTTCCATTTAGTTACTCTAAATATAATTCACAAATATACAAGTTAATCATTATAAACAAAACCAGACTATGAACAGCAGGATTGTATTACCTTTGCATTATTACGAGATTAACTGGGTTCTAAAAATACTGTAAGAGAACCACACTGTTTTGGCTTAAACTGACATATATAAATTTCTTTGAAATTAATTACACACCACATAATTAATAAGTTCATGAACATATTTGATCTTAAAGCATTTCAATGAAAACACAAGAAAAAGGTAATAGGGTAACAACAACACTGGGTTACTGCTGTTGCATTTGTATTTCCTCCCCATGTAACCTTCATGACCTAATAACAATGTATTTCTAGAAATGCATTACTCTTCAGGTAATTAAAAATCAAGAGCTAAAATGAGATTACTCCTTCCTCACAATAATACACTACAACACACATCTGTAACTGAGATTTTATAGTCAGTCTAAGAGTCAGACTCAGCATCAGTGGAAGTGTACAAAGCTCACATGAACCATGGTACTGAAACACTACCTTTGCTTTTCAGAAAGGGTTCAAGACAGTACTTCAATGACTGTATTTTTAATAAAACAAACAAAACACAGCACAGTGACATAGAACACTGACGAATTAACACTGAAATCCAGCCTACTTATACATTTTAGCTGGAGAAAAAAGGCTTCATCCAAAATTGAAGCTAAGCAGGTTAGCTATATACAGTTGTAGATCTGTCTTTTTCTAGATGTGGTATGAAATCACCTTCATTTAATCAATAAAATGTTCATCTATTTATCTTAAAGAGCTATGAACCATGTTATAAATGCAAAGTTGAACTCCATTTTTCACCAGAAGCTGAAATATTAATGTAAACAGATTATTTTATAGCTTAATATAATAAAGTCATTGAACCCAAAAGCTTCTCCAATATTAAAACCTGTGCTCCGCTCCATTTACACATTGCATCATACAACTGTATTTTGTCACTATGTGCAAAATAGATACTGTAACACCATTCTTCATTAAATTACTACATAAATGAAGAGGGTCTGGAGATAACTGTATTTCATGTCTGAGATGACAAGTTTTGATACGAGAAGTAATGTATTTGGTTGAACATATGATATGGCATTTGATCAGAAACATTAACTATCTTGCTGTATTCAGCATTGTGCAGAAAATTTCTGCATAAGGTAAGTGCAATGAGTTTTTCTATTTGTACTGTACACTTTAACTGCAGTTTAATGATGCTCCTTTAAAATCTCAGTTTTTCTTTGGTTTTACACTGCCTGACAAAGTTTTCTACAGCATGTGCTACTTAATTGATGATTGACTGTCCTGTAAAACCTCTACAAAAAGACAGCTGCTATCTCCACTGGAGGATTCAGGATAGAAATTATATACTGTAACTGTAGCTAGCTGTAAGAAAATCGAATCATGAATAATTGAGTCACTCAACAACAGGCTACAATGCTACAAAACTACTTCACTGTGACCTAGAAAATCCAGGCTTGCCCTCCCATAGATTTCCATCAGTGTTATTAAGCGAAGCACAGCAGCCCAATACAAGCTGATTCAATGAAACTAAAAATTGCAAAAGTACAAACTAAGCTATTTCCCTGCTAACAGTGAAATGCTGAGAACCAGAATTGAAGCATGCAGAAGAAAACAGAAGGGGAAAAAAAACGGGGTTGGAAACGGGGAGTGTCAGGAATCCAGAGGACAGAAAAGAGCTCATTCCACCTAGCAGTGTCTTGAAAGGGCAATCACAACAAGGGAAAAAGGAAAAGAAATATTGACCCTTAAAGCTCCAATGCCTACATGTACTCACCAAGTGGAGGGAAGCCCCGAGCAGGGCTTGTATCTCGACTGCTCTCACGGCTGGTATCACGACTGCACCCCTGACTCATGCTGGGTCGGGGGATGCGACTGCTCCGTGCTAGCATGCAGCATGGAGAGTTTCAGAGAAGGTGAACAAGTTTAATGAGGACAGAAAGCTCAAAGTCAAGTCACAGTTCTGTTAGTTATGGTAATTATTACATTAGTAATTACAATTTGTAGCAGCCTGGTCAGGCTCTTTACAAACCAACTACCTTACATGCTGAGCTGTGTTTGTGATGTGAAATTTCAGCAGCCTTAATGTCTGGCTGACAGTCTGCTTTTTTCTTAAGCAATCCGAGTTTTGTTATTCAAGTAGAGCAGGAATCTTCAATCATTTAGGGAAGCTCTACTGTTGCAAAACAGACGAGGCTGAAAGAAACCCTTCTGGAATATTTCTTCCTTCATTTTAAAATAAACACCCTTCTGGAACAAATGAGCAGACAAAAATTTCTTTAAGTAATACCGATATGATCTTTTTACATAGATTTGCCTTTCACAAGGAGAGTTTTTTGAACAAATATCCTAAGGAAAAAAAGGTGTACTGCACAGACTTGCAGAGATACCTTTCTCCAATGAAAAGATACTGGGGAAAAAATATTTAGAACCTGAATACCCGAAAGACAGGTTAAAAAGTGATTTGAATTTGAAGAGAACAGTAGCTTCAGATATTTAACGGAAACTAACTTCTGCTCCTTAGACATTTCTAGAAGTTTATGGTTTTATATGCACACAGTTTGAGACATATGCACCCTTCAGGGGAGCTTTAAACTATATTCTTTACTTGTACAAGATCCTACATACTTGCAGATGTTTGAGATGCTGAATGCTTTAAAAATATTTGCAGAAAGTTATTTAGTAAGTTTTATGCCTGATGAAGAATACTATATTTTCTTAGGGCAAAAACTAGCAGTTAATTGTCAGGAGAATTTAATGACAACAGGGATTTCCCTTGCTGTTTTAAAAAGGCAGTAGCATATTTCAAGCGTTCAGGAATCACTGTTGAAGAATTTTCTCAGGCAAAAAGTAAAACCTAATCTACCAGTTTTGCTGACAACACAGCAGAGGTACATATGCATAACATGAACGTGCTAGTACTTCGACTGCTTCCTTACTTTTATAAAAATAATGTTATTTGCATGCTTCAGAATATATATATATATATTCTTACAAATATCTATTGGTTTGTATACAGAACTTAAATGCCTAGGGCTCAAGCTGAAGTTCCTCTACAGTGCTTCAGTGCTCTCACATAAAATGGATATATTAGCATCCTTCAAGCAAAACAGTACAGAACAGAATAGAAACCTTCATATTTAGGCTTTAAAATTCAGATGGAGACTTCTGCCAGATTCTTGTTTTGTCAAATCCCTCCCAGTTTTGCAAAACCCAGTTCATGTCTCTGCGATGAATTAATGGTTCTGATGGTTGACCTCTGATGTCAGACAATGTGAGATGAGCCATCAACCAAGCTGATTAGATCACCATGATGTCTAATGGTACCGAGTCACATGGTCTTACAATAAATAAAATAGACTAAATGATAAGAGCTGGATGAAATTAGGGTTCATGAGTACAATAATCCCATCTCAGATGTACAAGGGGAAAAGCTGACAGGTGAACTACAAGTAAAAGTAACACTAAAGTTCTCCACACAAATACTTGGTTTGAAATTGCAGACTCTCTAGAAGCAAACTACTCATTCTTGGGTCTCATGCTTAGATGTAAATAATGGCAGCCTTCACATCAGGTTTGCACAAGCAGTCATTTCCCTTAAACAGAGAAGGTCTGCCCATCTTTTCTATAACACAACCATACCAAAAACAGTAAAGGCTCTTTAGAGAGGGAGAGATTTGAATGATTACAAAAATTAATGGATGCACACAATAGATTCTCCTTCCATACCAGCTAACAGCAGCAGCATGAAGTATAAAGAAAATGCACTTTAACTGCATTGTCCTACACTAGTAGGACAATGCTACAGATGAAGCATAATACTGACTTTGCAAACATAACACCCAAAGCCAAACACTGGGTACTTTGGCATTAATGGTCAAATAAAAGGGTTGCATGTTACTGGATACAAAAGAAAATCAAGGGAAAAAAAATGGATTGAAAAGAACTGAAGGATGTGGACTCCCAGGCACCTGCCTCACATTTTCACCACCACGCTGTGTAGAGAAGATTTTGTATCAGCTACTCAGACTATTTCCTTTAGACATTGTCAGCAGTAAAGGCCAGCAGTGTTGTCATTTAGCTGAGTCTCTCATACCATGACAGCCTGTCTCTGCAGTGCAGGGAGCAAAAGCAAAGGGGACAGACCAAGTCTCAACTGGAGCATTCTCAACCTCCAAAAGCTGGACAGAAATCAAGTGAATGAGTAGCAAAATGGATTAAGAGGAGTAGGCACCATGAAAGCAGACAGTGTGTCCACAGCCAGCTCTGCTGTGAGAAAGTCTAGGACAGGACAAGGATGGGTTGTTTCCAGTAATATTCTAACTTTGTAATGTGTACTGTACATGCAAGTTTTACCAATTTCATCTGGAAAGTCAGAGCACATAGACATGGCTCACACCATTATTAAAACATACTACCAAGCAGTCTTATGCCAGTGGAACCCAACAGATGCAAATATCACCAGCAGAACATGAATGTGCCCCTGGTTTACAAATCTACCAGAAGAAACTGGTATTTCATTAGGGCGTGAATTTTAATGATTCTTAAGTGGAGACTAAAAATCAGCAGACGCTTTCTTACATCAATACCAGCATTTTAAAGAGTCTGAAATTCTGCCAAACAGCCAAAGGAAAGCTCTGCAGTGGGGAACACCCAGTCAAGGCAAGTCAAGAATTGCCTGCAGATTTCCAATAAATGTACACAGCATAACCCCAACAGAAAGAGTGCTGCTGCATAAAGCTGAGAGGCAGCTGTGCTTGCTCCACTTTTTGGAGAATGGCTGTCTTGGATCTCTCACTTCTTTCAGATCCAGCTGTGCCACACGATCTGCAAAGCATCCAAGAGAATTAACTTCAGGCTGATAATTTTCAATCCATGGGAAATGGACATCACCTGCTTGAGCACATGATCTCCTTCCAGGAGCCCAAAGAAATGCTCAAGATTAAATGGACTGCACTCCTCCTTCCTCAAGAGGGTATCAGCACTAGTAAAAGTCACTGAGCAGACAGCAGAGGCAGGCTTAAAAATGAAGTGTCACAAGCAGAGACATATAGGTGACCACACAGGACCTCACAACACTGAATGTGCCTTGTTGTGCTGCCTCTAGGGAAACAAAATCTTCTTCAAGCTTCCCAGCACACAGAAGGAATCTACTTCATGGATACCTGTAGTCATCATGGAAATCAAAACTAGCAGCAAGGTACTGATGCTAACAGGCATCCACATGCAGAGGGCTCTATTTTTGCTACTGCCCCAGGAGAGCCTGAAAAACTCCAGGGGATGGTTTCTGTATTTGGAATCAAGGTGAGTGGGAGTTTATTTAATGAAATGAACAAACAAAATAAAATATCAAGGAAATATAGAGACTGAAGCAACACAATAAAAAAGCATAAAATACTGTTAGCTACTATGTCATAAAGTAATAAGTACAGTGGAATAATGGTATATAGCTGACAGCTCAAAAGCTATCTCCATCTGGGTCAGTATTACAACTTTCAAAATCCAATAAATAGAATTTCTGCAACTGAACAGAAAAGTGTCAGACACTCCTGTTCCCATAACAGCTCAACCCAGGCTGTGTCCATCAACCTGGGGGAAATAGGTGAAAGCCACACATCTGTTACATGTCAGATCTCTCTCCCACTCTCAAAGAACAAGCACTGATTATGTTCTCAGGGAGCACATCAGAGAAATGATACAAACTACTCTTTCAAAAGAATTCAAGGCTCCTGTAATATACCTGAAAGCAGGCAACCCAAGAGTGAGGATTCTACACAAGGCAATTTTTCAGGTGCTCAAGAATGTTTCAAATCAGACCACATAGCATGATGATCAGCTTAAGCATGTGTGATGGTACCAACCACCATTCTTTGCTTCCTCCTAAAAAACAATGCTCTTCTACACAGTGACAGCAGAACAATTACCTCTAGTATTTGGGAGGCACTTTACATTTTAAAAGCAATGAACAGAAAAGCATAATGTATTCATACAGAGCCCATAAAATAGATCAGACATCAGAAGAACACTGAATTTGGAAAAGCAGTCACAATGAATATGCAGTATTTTTTATGAATCATAATGGCATATATACTCAGGTGCCTTAAACTCATTTCAGTATACTGGAAAGAATGAATAAAATAGTTCTTTATTAACGACCTCCTCTAAATAAAGATGCAGCTCAAATGTAAAACATAAAACTATTGCTAAAGCAATAGTTATAAATTTAACTGCCAACAGTAAAGCTACAATTTCAATCAATTTCAATCTACTAGTAAAGTCTCTGGAGATAAAAATAACTTAGAATCAGTATCATTTAAAATATTCTTCTACATTAGCTTCAAACTTATAAAATAATTTATATTAAAAAATGAAAATGTTCAGACAGCACACTGAATACCTTTTCACTTCAACTCAGATACACAAAGTTTTATATATATGATATTTACTCACCTGATTTTAAAAAAAAGTCCGCTGATAAATTTGAAAATAGAAACTATTACTGAATATTTACATAACAGTCACTGAGACGAGAGTATCAAAACCAGAACAATTACTGCATAAGTCTAAAACATGTTCTAAGAATGTCACTCCAGGATATTAAGGATGAGAGAAGCAAGACATTTAAAATGCAAAATTTCTTAAATAATCCAAGAAGGTGCTTTCTGCTCTTGATTCCATGTGACTGTAAAGATGGCTCAACTCATTTTAGGAATAAGCTTAAATGAGGTCTTTTTGTTCTGATGGTTATTCACAATTGTTCTTGCTACCTCCTCTAATAATATTGCTCATGTTGAATTTCAAACAGAAAACACATCATGACATCTTCAGGCTTACTTTGAAACCATAAAGCTCAACCTGTAAAATTGAAATTACTCTCCTACAAACCACAACCACATTAACTTGTCAGCTGAAAAACTCAGAAGAACAACAGCACCATGAGCAGTTCCCCAGGCAGGAGGAGAGCCCCTCCAGGCACGCGGGCCAGCCCGTCCCTGCAGTGACTGCTCTTACCTAGGCCTATTCTGTTGGGACTCGTCTCCCGACTGCATCCCTGGCTCCGAGGAATCTTGCTGCGCTTCTCTGAGGAGGATGGCACTGGCTGGACTCTGGATGTTCCGCTGCTCAGGCCACCATAGGAGCTTCCTAAGAGCTTACCCGGAGAACTAGACCGGCTGCCAGCTAGGAGAGAACCAGAAATGAGGAACAAACGATTAAAACTTCAAGATTTTAAACACACCGGCAGCAAAATTGGAACACAATCAGCTCTATGTAAGAATCTAATCCAAATCCCTCAGAAAACTAATGGGAGTGTTCCCTATAAGCTTTCAAGAAGACTGAGGAAAGCCTGTGGACAGTGAACACTGACATCAGCAATCCTCTGCTGCCCATGAAGACCAAGCCCAAAGCAGACACTGCAGTGTATGAACACCCTAGCTGGATTTAGGAGAGCTTGTAGAGGAGCTGGGGCAGCCTTGCTACAGCAGCAAGGGATTTCCAGGTACCTCACCTCCTCATAAAGCAACACCAACCAGGCTGTGTGCAGAGCTGTGCTGCAGTGCCCTGGCTTCTAGCACAGGTCACTTGCTGCAAAGCAGCTCAGGCAGCTTCGTACTACACTGCAGTGGTGGCACTGCTTTTCTTCAATAATTTAGTGAAGGAAAATAAAAAACCCACCACATCTGAACAGATCAGCACAAAAATGGGTAAATCCCACGAACCTCACACTTGTAGAGATGCTGGCTTACTTAGGTCTGGCTGGTTAAACCTAAGTTATTTATTTTTCAGATGATGAAAATTTTTAACAAGTTGAATAGTTGGCCTGTTTTATTTTTCCTTGCCTCTTTGAACAGTCCATGGCAATTTTACATTTCTTCTAAGAAATGAGTACGTGAGTCCCTGAAAATCTGCTGTTGCCATTACTATTTCTGACATTAAATTTATTTGCTGAACCATCCCGGAAAAGTATATTTGAAAGGGTTGCAAGAGCATACTCAGGCAAGCTCACATTTTGAACCAATATTCACACTGATTTCTTGCTGAAATGCATCTCACATCTAAGAAAAAATTCATTTCCAAATACTGTTACAACTAGAGTACAACAAAACTGAAGACTGTTCTTCCGTCTGAATGTAAGAAGACAGGGAACTCTAATAGCATCATAGCACATGTATAGTTACTTGCCTCCTCCAATTTCTTGGCCAAAGCCATTCTGAACCAATCAAATATACTCCAATACTGTACAGGGTGACAGCTCCATTCTCCCCACCCCAAAGTGAAAGGTGCCAGTCTTCCACACAGCACCATGACCTGAGGGTCATCTCACTGGTGTCAGCAGGGATGTACTGAAGTAACTGAGAGAAGAATTCAGCCCCTGGAGCTTGAGTTGCAGCAGTGAGCCAGCTTTGACATCAGAACAGACACTTACCATGTTTGATTAGTAGGAGAAAGAAAAGTCCCCTGCCATACACATTTTGATTTATGACTTCAACAAAATGCTTTTTAAGTCTTACAGTCAAGGAGAGAGATAAGAAAGCTAAAAGCTTAGCAGTTAAAAAATGTGAAGGAAATAATGTGAAAAAGCAAGAAAGGGAAAATGTTTCTTACCACCAGCAGGATTAGCTGATCTGGATCCTTGATTATGAGGGCAGACCAAGGGACAGGCAAAAAGTGGATTAAAAGACAGCAAGACAATACAGCGTTCAGCATGCGGTTTGTGCTATACACAATACAGACAGATTTATTTACAAACATGTCACTCCTAAAGCCTCTGCAGAATGCAGTGAGTTAATGTGCAGGTGCAACTAAACTTCCCAAAGTTGACCAACTTCTCAGAAAAATGTCAACCAAGACCCAAGTTCTGCTCCAGTGTGAGAAATTACAACATGGTTATCCACTGCGTGGGTACAGAGAATCTGGTCCTGTGACTAACTCACTACATTTGAATTTGTAAATTATTCCATGCAACATTTGGTTTAAGGATAAAGATCACATCTGGTTGGGCTAGGCTGGAAACTCAGCAAACTAGGCCAAGGCAGCAGGTCAAGGTATGACCATCTAAAATCTTCACAAGGCATTCTATAGAAAAATGATGTCCATAATCTTTGAAACCTTTAAAGAATAACTATTATTTGAATACTTCTGAGACTTGTCTCATCTGGTCTGACCATTTTTCACCAAACTAAGTTTAGCGAAAAAAGATGACTTCTGGCTTTGGATAAGTTCTAGCTTCACCACTGAAGACATCAATTTACATTAGCATCCCAAAGCCCAAATATATCCTTATGACCTCAATGTAAAGATTTCCATTTGGCCCCATGCTCAATACACTATATCTTTCTGCAGATCTCCCAGTCTAACACAAGGCTATAAACTACTTTTTCAACCCTCCAGCATGACAGAGCAAAGCAATGAAAGAATGAACAGAGAAGGGCTTTCAAATAGGGGTACAAAGCAAGACAAGTCCTCGGAACAGACAGGTCCTTCACAAACCCAATCTCTGGTTGAAGGTCCTCATAACAGGGAGCTTCTCCCTCCTCCAAATGCCTTTTTAAAGTCTGAGTGACAAAATTCTCCTCAGATACACATGACAAATGTGCAGCAGCACCATATGTGTGGCTCCTAGGAGAAAACCATGCCTTGCCAGGAAGCCAGAGCGCAGATGTGTCATGTGAATCAAAGCAGAACCCTTTTTCCCATATCTACACAAAATAGATAATGTCCTATTTTCAACTGATGCCAAACCCCATTAATTTTAGACAGCTCACGTGTTCACACATACAGAAATCAAGTCACATAAGCAGGAGAGGCTTGGCAGGGCAAGCAGTCAGCTACAGGCACAGGGGGTGCCTCAGCAAGACACAGTGCCAGTTATTTAGAGCTACACATCACAGTGACACGAAATTCTGCTGCACAACTGGCACAAAAGGCCACAACTAAGCACTGGGATTTGGGGCCCTGCTTGTCAGCAGGAGCACACACTGGCTAGGTGGGGATTCGTTTTATTACGTGTCCAAAGTGAGCCCAATTCTCTGATGGTGCTACTGCAATTCAAGAGAAACACATTAACAACTCTTTGTTCTGCTCCCCCAGGAATAAAGCAATTCTTACGTTGGGACTGGGAAACCACTTTAGCCCGGCTGCGGCCTCGGGTATCGGCAGGCGTGGAGGTGACACTGGTGGCACTGCCAGAGCTCTGCCTCCTGGTGCGAATCCGGCCTGCAGGAATGCAAACACAATCACACTGTCAGCGAGTTTCTTACAAAGGCAGCAGCAGCGTCTAACACACTGTACACACAATTAGCCAGGGTACAAAAGAAATTTACTGGGAGAGGCAACACCTTTTATTAGGCTGGCTGAGATGCAGAAGAGGGAGTGGAAACAGCCACAGCCCATAGTCTAAAAACTTCTTTGCTTTCTGTAATGCTATCAGCCAGTTTAATTAAAAAATATTATTTCTCTATAGCCTTTGTTCCTGTCCTAGAGTAGCTTCTTTACAAAGGATCAAGTACAAAAAATTTCAAGCCTCCTAAACGCAGCTTCCTGTATCAAATTATTACTTTCTGACAAGGTGATCACCCTTTCAGAGACAGGTGTGACAGATGCCCTCCCAAATTCCATCGCTGGGATTTCCAAGCAGCTGTCTGGTGCTTTATGTCCTCCTGCACAGGCTGGCATGCACTCCTGTGACAGTCTGTCAATACAGCCTGACCACACTTTTATTCCAGGCTCATTGAATTTTCCCTGCTGTTTACAGGTCCCTCGTATTTATCCAGAGATCAGTACAACTTTACTTGTAATGGAGAGCCCTATTTAACATAATCAGTGTTGAGGAAAACAGATTCTGTGTGCCTTCTCTTTATTTAAGCAGAGAATGGATATAAAGTCCCAAAGTGTTCTCAGTCCTTGTTCTGTCCTTTCCTCATGGAAAAGCCACTGAAATTTGAGCTAGGAAAGCTTATGGGGTCATCAGTTCATCCCCTTCCTGGGGTAGGGCTGTTTCCTACAGAATGCTCTTTCCAGTGCTATGCTTCAATTATCTGTCTCTAGCTAATGGGAAAGAAATGATAATTAAGAGTAACACAAAGAAAGCCTCTATCAGTACTTTTCAACACTTCAGTTCTTAGCCAAGACTGAAGTTTTTTTCTCAGGACTCAAGCCAGAGCTATCCTGCATTCAGAGGATGACTTTCAGTTTCAGGCACAATAATGAAAGGAAAAAACCCAGAGCAGGTAAGAGAAGTCTAGACAGCTGCACCCACTGGTTATAGATACTCATCTCCTGTCCTCTGTCTCCACCATAAGCATACAGAGATATATGAACAGGGAAACACACACACTTCCCACCCAAAAAAACCCACTTCACATAAGGCATACATGCAGGACAAGACAATGGCAAGCAGCCCAGACAGAGAGATTGGGAGCTGTGTTCCTTCTCTGAGCTCTCAAAATATTCATAACATGGTCTGAAAGCTTCTGCTAGACCCAAAGTGACAAGGAGATGCCTAACTTTGAGAAGAAAGGGCAAATTTGTTTGCAAGGGAAGAAGTCTACAAGACAGCTCTACTCCAAACCCCTCCACCAGCACTTAGTTTTAAAAGAGCTCAGTAGGCAAAGTACAGGGAAGTGCATTCAAACAATTGTCTACAGAGGAGACACAGAAGGCATCATCAGCAGAAAACTGGGAAAACACAAGCAAAACTTTTTAACCACTGTCTCAACTGAACAAGCTCTGAGCACACCCATGTGAGTCCAACAGTCATAAAACTGGCTGCTGATGTCTTTACCACAAGCAAGGCTGCAGATTCCTTTGCTGTAGGGCATTCTTGCCCCTTACAAAGGGTCAGCCTGATGCACCACTGGAGGCAAGCTCTAGAGCTCTCTGCCAGCCAGATCCCAGCCCATGCCACACAGGTGAGCAGAGCCACTCTGTCACTTGTTAATGAGGTGGACCCAAAGCCCAACACAGGCTCCAAGGCAGGCAGGCATGGGGAAGGAGGCAGGCAGACATCGCGCTCCTCTCAGAAGCCTCAAGGCTTCCCTTCACTTCTATCAGGAAGGCATCACAGTAGGACAAGAATTTAAACCTGACCACCTTAGGAACCAGTAATGGAACTCATTTACATCCTTCCAGAAGGCCAATGGGAGGCCTTGGCATTGCAGAAGTCCTAGGGGGAAATCAAGCTGAAATTCAATACTACACACAGTAACAGGCAGTACTGGAAGACACATTTAGTGATGTGCATGGCCAAGAATGGGTGAGAAGGGACTGATGCCTCCTGCTCTTACACAAAGGCCACTTAAGACCCTCAACTTTTTCTGGATTTTTCTGCATCTACAAAAGTTTTGATTTTTTTTCTTGTACCTTCATCAGTAGGTGACTAAGAAGAGGAAAACTGGGATAAGATGTGTGACTTTTCCAACTTAAGAAATACAAAGTCTAAAGTAATATATAAAGTGAAACTGAGGTTAGCTTCTGAAATAATTTCTAGAGGCTTAAAAAATTAAACAGAATTAACACAAACTTAATTAACATGTGATTTATCAACAGGACTGGAAGAAAAAAACTCAGCCCTATTTGAAATCCCTGAGGGCTGGTGGACAGATTCCTACCAATTTTAGCAGTTTCTGAATGAATGAACAAATACCCAGGAACAAAATTCTGCTTCCTTTTGGACTGGTACATTTGCACACTGATTTAGGCCTGCTGGGTGTCAGAGAGAACAGTGTGAGAGGAGAAGCTGCTCTTCCACAGTAAGAACAGAGTCCAAACACTGATACAGATTGTCCAATCCTTAAAAAAATAGTGGCAAGCATTTGAACTAACACTGCATTGGACTTGCATTGTGCAAATGGATTTCAATATATATTATACCAAGTACAACATGCATATATAGTAGTTAATCCATACAACATAAATGTGGCTTCTACATTCCCCCAGGAATTTCATTTGCAAACAAGAATCTGCACTCACATCCAAGAGTTATTTGCACATAGGACTATGTGTGTGGCTTTATCTCTATCATTCTAACCCAGACAGAAAAACCCATTTCAAGCAGGACTGGAAATATAATATCAAGCAAGCTATTTAGACTTTTTCTTGTTCTTAAATTCAAGCAAACACCTCCCCTCCCAAAGCTTCTTTGCTTTCAAGTGGGTTTGTCTCCATATCTAGTTCAAACTACAGATGTAGCAATACATATTTCAAAACCATTTATTCTGCTGCTGCTTCTAAAAGTATTTCTGCATCCTAACAACAACAGCACAGCAAAGGAACAGATAAAGCCTGCCCCAACATGGTTTCCAAAAACCATTAAAGCATTTCCATTAAAAAGACCTTGATCTAAATTCCACATGTGACACACTGCTGTTGGTACAGAAAAGATTTTGAAAGACTCCATATAAATGTGTTAAGAAACCATTTCTGGATTTTTAGGAGGTTTTGGTTTTTATTTTTTAAAGTTATTGTCATTTTTACAACAATGGTTCAGAATCAACCCTGAAATGTCTAGCAAATGCCTAAACCTAGAAAGGTTGTTTTGTTTTGGTTTTTTTTTTCAGAAAAGGAACAAATTAAGGAAGATTCTCTGATAACATCTGTGCTTTACAAGAGGCTTCACCTGGCAGGTTGAGTCCTCTGGGTGGATACTGCAGCACCCCCACCCCCAGTGCACAGAACAGCCATAGGCATATCACACTGAAGAAAATGGTTTAATATAGTCTAGAAATGGTATGCAACAGCCTCACAACCCACTTTAATCAATTCCACGCTGTGAAGAGGGACACCTACAACCACACAAGTTACACATGGATGCACTGGGGCAATGATGGTCTCTCCAGGGATCATGTTAATGCATTTAATTTACCCAGCACTGGGGTTTTTGCCCCACTTTGAGAAGATTCCTGAAAGAGCCTCTAGCCTTAGATGTATCACTGCTAAATAACACATGGACATGGGAGACACACAGAGATCAATTAAAAACACAGATGACATTTAAAGAACTTTTTACAACCCCCATCAGAAAAGTTTCCATGCATATTTAGCACTTCTCCGATGTCAGAAAGACCCGACTCTGCACAATGCTTTCCCTTGAGAGGCATTTCTTATTGGAAACCATCAGGCTTTGCTGCCTCAGGGTTTTAGCGAGATCTCCCTCCAAAGCAGAGGGCTCAGTGAACACTCCACCTTACCCTGCACAAACAAACAAAGCCAAATCAACTCAGCAGTTGCAAAGGGATGGAGCAAGAAAAGCAAAAAACCCACTACCTGAGCAATTCAGTGTAAGGTATCACTGTCAGTCAGGACTTTGAATCAAGCCTCACTCTTAAGGACAAGGGAGAGCTTTAGGGCAGAGAAGAAAACAGGAATGGCGATTTCTTTAAACTTGTGTTACTCCTAAAGGCTTTGGTAATGCACTCAAGGTGTCTAAGTTATCTGAAAACTGTAACAAGCCCCATTTTACTGCCTTTCTGGTGAATACTAGAAGTATTAAATATTGTGCCACTGACTGCAAACTGCTGATTTTGTTTTGAGCTTGCCAGTCACAGGCCAAACCAGCATTTATGCTTTCCCTTTTGGAGAAAGGCTTTGACAAAGGGCTTGACTTCATGCTTCCTTTGAAAAAAAGGCAACACAAGTGCTCTGAACCATTCTAATTCATGAAAGCATCAAGCAGCCTTTTAAAATATTACTTGAAGAGATGTTTCATTATGAAATAAGAAGAAACTTTTCTAAGGTTTCCTTTTAACCAGGTATAACAAACATGGCATCAGGGCCACCTCCCTAGCACCAGCTGTGAAGATCAAGACTGTAATTTATCTCTTTTGAGCTTTCTGTGTGTAAAACCCTTAATGCAGTTCAAAAGATCCCCATACATGAGGGCAATCGAGCACATCTGTGCACTGCATGAAGACCTGCACAAACCTCACTTGGTATACAGACTCCCCCACCTTTCCATAAGGAAGTGCATTTCTAGCATTTGCCAGTTGTTGGGATGTCACAACTTAAAACCAAAGGACTGATACTCAGCTCTTAGCTGGCATTCTTGCACTGGCATCACCTACTCTATCTTGCTCCTTTGTTTGAGCTGCCTGACTCCAAACCAAACCATGAGGAGAACCAAGGGCAAAGCAGAAGGGACCTGCCAAGTCCACACAATGCTGGCTCCCAGCTGAGGGGAATGAGCAGAATTTTACAATGTAGCTACAGAAAGCCATGATGGGAACCAGACTGCAGATTTAATGTCAAGCTGAACCACAGAAAATAACACAGGAATTTTCTCTTAAATTACTTACTGGTGACCTGCAAAAAACCCAAAACAAACCACAGGAGCACAACTGTAGATGACATTTCTGCTTTAAGTTCTGTTTCCAGAGCAAGAGGATGTTGTTCTCTAACCCCACCCTCTTAATGTTTACATTTATGTCAAGAATGCAAAGTTTCATCTTCCCTGCAGTTCCTGACTCAATCTGCAAGATCACAGAGTTGGCAGAAGACCTTACTCAGTTTCATTATTCACTGAAGGACACACTCAATCCTGAATAAAGGGGTTTTTTTGCCTCACGTACCTCAAAGGAAAAAGATGAAGTTTCAAATAGTAATTAAACTCATTCTTGAAGTACTCTGGCTACAGTGTACTGAGTTTTAATTCTCCCTGATCTTCCTCATCAAAAAAGAGAGAATCCTACAGCAAAAAGAAGGTATAAGGCTTGGTATTTAAAACTGAGGGGACAGCAAACTCAGTTTCTGAAACTCCATCTCAATCTTCCCTGCCCCAAGCAACTTGCTGGTTTCTATTACAGATTTTTACCAAATCCAATCTGCTCCTAATGTAACTGAATTGAAAACAGTAACAAATAAAACCCCCACCCTTTTTCATCATGACAATAAAGTATTTAATAAACTAAAAATAGAGGTATTGCACAGGACAGCTGTTGTAACAGGCCTCTGCAAACATTATTACAGCCAAGGAGAGGACTGAAAGCTGGTATTTCACATAAAACATTAAACCCTTAACATTTCAAATGTAGGCCAAAAATAGATAGGTTTGAGAACTAAGACAAAAGAAAGAAAAGTGTCAAAAATTAAAAAAAAAGAAGAAATAAGATCAGTAATTACAACTACTTGGAATTTTCATCTAACTCATGATTGATTTAGAAACACAGGTCTCGGGCCAACTTCATATTCCTTATCACTGACAGATCACAAAGCACAAATACTTCCAGCTCAAACTGCAGAGGTAAGCTCCTCTCTCAACACTAAGTACCATTTCCAAAAATGGTACAGACCTTTTCTTCCAAATAATAAATCAATGTGTCACTAATAGTAAGGAAAACAACACAGATGTCACAACAGCACAGTGGCACTTCTCAGACCACCACATCCAAATACAAGCAGCCATCAAAGATATGAGCACAGTCCCACAAGACAGTAACAGATCCCTTGAAAAGAGACTTGCACTGGGAAAAAAAAAGGCTTTGCTGGAGAATGTGGTATCTCCATTCTGTGTAGAAAACATTTTTGTTTCCAGCTCCTGTCTACCTCAGAGAAAGTGATTTCCCAGTGATCTTTTTTTGCTGAAGAAATAAGAAATAAAGAACAAGTTTTGACAATGAGCCAGAAAAACAGACTGGGATCCTTCCCAAACTAGCAGGCTCAGTGTTCTAGTATAAAAAGCCTTTCCTCCAACTGTCTTTGGTGTAAGCCATCTCACTCAGACAGTTAACAACAAAAAGAGAGAGGTCAGGTTTAAAGAGGTTGACTAAATATTCCTTCCCTAGAGATCATTGTTTACTGTCCTCATTTTTCTGCCATGTGATCATCTCATTCAATTCTCTCACTGCCCAGTCTCTTCCCAAAAGCATTTGGCAGTTGTGACCTGAGCTTTGGATGGAAAAACACAGCAAACCTTTACACATCAAGAAGAAAAGAAACCACAAGCCTTGTGTTGTTTGGGAGTTTTTTGGGTTTTGTTGTGGTTTTTTTTTTTTTAGTCTATACAGAGGTCACCTTCAACCAAAAGCAGTGCTTTAAATAGAGAAACCCACATAACAACTTAGTGACCAGAGCCATAAAAGCAGACTAATGGTTTTTAGCAGGGAGGAGCTCAAAGAGAAAGTGAAGAATACCCCATGGCATCAAAATGAGCAGGACAACCATGCAACACTTCATGCAGGTCACCAGTGAACATGGATGAGAACCAAGTAACACTTTGAGAACAGAGACCAGGTAGGGTAGTACGACTGTGGACACACCTCAGTTACACAGAGACTGCTTACCCTCGGTTTTACTGGTAGTACCATCTTTAGGCAAATTAAAGAAAAGTAAGGACAGGGTTAATAGGGAAAAATCAGTAACATCAACAGAAGTGGGCACTATATATTAGCTAAATAAATATGCAAAAAAAATAATACAATTAAAGAAATGAAAAAAGTTGGACCAAGCAGCAAATCAAACCTCGATGTATTGGAAGAAAACACTTGCAGGTTTTCCCTCCTGCAACAACCAACTTTTGCCCAACTCCATTTTCATTGTTTGCCTCACCATTTCTCTCATGGGAATGTGCAGGTGATAAATGTCCCTACTAGGTAAAAAGGAAGCAGGATCCTTCAGGAGCAGCCATGTTTGCATCACTTAAGAGTGAATTTGCTACTCTTCTTCTAGAGCCTGCTTAACAAGAGTGACACTGGATGCAGTCTCTAAGCTTCAAGGACCAAGTCAGCTTTAATACTTCTTCCCTCTTCATTCTTCCTCATGACATAAGACAGTTTGAAGCCAGTTTAGTCACTGAAGCCAGAGTGCAGCACAACTCAAAAGCGGCTGCATCTGTAAGCCCACCACTGTGCGATCAACTTCACATCCTGTAATTACACTTCCACTGCAATGTACCTGCATCTTGAACCAAGGAAGAGCAATTTAAATCAAAATAAGAATTCAACTTCTGAACTGAATACAACCAACGCATCTAAGCCAAGGTAAAACATTTCAGATATGAAAGAAACCTGTCTGAGAATTGAATCCATAAAAATCATCCCTACATAATTCACCACTTACTTTTCAACAAGTTAAAGAGCAAATGCCCTACATTAAAAGAAGAAACTCCTCAACCCTTCTTAGTGAAGACAATGTACACAGCTTAAATCAAGAGCACAGACCCCTGAGTTTCTTCCCTGTTGTAAAGGTAGATCGATGACAAGTCTGGGACTAGATTAGTGTGAAACCAGCAGAATGAGAAATGAGCTCAGATGATCAGCTCTGCTCACAGCCGAGATGAAGCTCAGCAAATACGGTGTTAATCACTGCCTTGCATTTCCTCCTCCATGACTCCTTCAATGGCAACTCCAGGAGAGGAAGATCCAATGCAAAGTTTGTTTTAAGAAACCCTGAGACACCTGAAGGTGATACACAATGCTCTGAGGGAATAATGTGACCTGTGGCTATAATCCAAAGAGTCAGCATAAGGAACAGATACTTATATCCTGTCTGATGACATGGCAAGGCCGACCTCCTCTTTGGTTCTCCATCTTTCTCCTTTGTGAAACAGAAAGGGTGCAAATTCAACTAAGATGTACTATTCAAAGCATAAAACAATGGAAAAGCAGTTTCAGGAAAGGAGGGAAGGAAAAGAAGGAAAAGAAGGAAAAGAGAGGGGAACATGTCAAAAGAAATTGAGTAGCACTGTCCTCAATCTGTGAGACGCAGATTATTACACAATTCAAAACTGTTCCTTCAAGTCAGTTCAGTTGTATATTTTTTTCCTCAATCCCAAAGGGCAAGAGATCACACACTGATCCTGGAGAGCTGGTAACTATCTCAGAGGTAGGTTTCTTTTATTATTCGAATAAAACTGCGAGGCACTTTCTGCTACCAAAGGACGCTAACTGCAGGAGTAGAAGGCGCAGATTTACCTAGTGATGCGTATGACCCTGGGGGCAAGGCTGCAGCAGAACTGAAGGGGGTGGATGCTCCAGAAGACGTCACTTTTGACTTGGCACTAGCTGCTGCATTCACATCGACGTCACTGCGGGATCGTTGCAGAGATCCTGGTGTTGACACAGATTTTGTACTTACTGTAGATGCTGCAGATGGGAGTGGGAGATCCAGAATAAAGAAGATTAATTTTTTGAGCTGTGTGCTTCAAAGAGCCTGACAAGCAGTTTAAAGTACTATTTTTAACAGCCCCTGCTGGCACTGAAATATCTCAACTAAGAATGCTTTATCAGGGCAATGTGGGCTTCCCCACACTGCCGGCAAAGATATTTCATCAATGCTGCTCTGATACCACCTCTAAGAACTTGATAAAGTTCTAAAAGCTTAAATGATAAGATCAAAAAGACTGTCAGGCCAGTAAAAAGAAATTTTTAACAGAGTCTAGATGGGAAAGTTCAACCACAGTACCCATCACTGGCACGTGAGAGTTGCTGGCCAAAACAGACCTGCAGGTCCTTCAGTCCAGGTTCTAATAACTTCCTTCCCAACACCTCATCTTCTCATGAGGATCGTTGTTCCCATCACTTGTGGATGCTCACCCTCTTAAGCATGAAGCTTGACTACTCAGCTGCAAGCAAACATGCATTTGTGTGCACAGACAAGTAGGTTACACAACAACATCTCCTTGAATCAAAGGTCTCAGTAGTCTCAATAGTTACAGACAAACCAGCCAGAACCCAACTTTGGTCAGGTGTAAAAGGCAGCTTATCTTTTACCAACAAAGTTTTGTCTATTATATTCTATATTAAAATATATTATTTAGATTATTGTATGCATTTACTTAGGACAGAAAAGCTGTACCCAAGTGTTCCATCTGACAAGAGAAACAGATTAGCAATGAGATGGAATTTAACACTGTACGACTTGTGTGCAGACACCTCCAGTAAGTGCTGACACCACAGAGAATAAATAACAAAAACTGTAAAACTGAAGGTGCCATTAGACTATGTAGCTGCATGTCTTAGCATCAGCAGCAGTTTATTCAAGCTATTACAAAGCATACCTTGACTACAATTTCAAAGGCTTTTTAGGCTTCCCTTCAGGTGTAAGAAATTACTGATTTACTAACTTCTTTTAAAAGCATTATTTTATCAGTAGCTGATGCACAGTATATGGTGTAAAATCCATAAGTAATTAACATTTCTATATCCTGAGCTGCCATTTTAGAGAGCAGTAAACAGTGATCAAAGTTGTTTTTTGTGTATCACAAAGTCACACTTCCTCAGCAACACCTGAGCACATTTTCCAGCTCCTGTTCTCACCTCTGGATGTTGTACTTCCAGTAGGACTTCTTTTGGCAGACAGTGGACGGCTGGAAGTTAATACAAAACTTATTAAAACACAACTGATTTCAGTCATCAAGAGCAGTACAATTCTGTTCCCTCAGTACACAATTAAGTTAATAGGAAATTATTTATATGCAGGAATAAACTAACAAAGCTTTTTGTTAAAGAATACAGCACCACCATGAAATTATTTATAAAAGCATTAAGAAATAAATTACTATTCACATTATTTGTGCAAAAAGAGATTTTTAAGAACACTTTTTGTACATTTAAAAAGTTACACCAGTAAGTTAGGGATATTTTTCATATATGTCTTACACTTAAATCACACACATTTGGAGTCTAAATTGACTCTATCTGAGAGTAGACAAAATACATACATTCAACATAACAGTTACATATTGACTCTGCAGTTGCAACTCAAGTTTGTAGTGTCTTTTCTTTTATTTGGAAAGAGACAGACTTACACCTCTTGGACTAATGCTAAAGGCAGAACTTCAATCTAAGCACTGTTTTAAGCATCTGAAAGGAATAACTAACAGTATCTGCTGAGCAAAAATAGTTTCCTAGAGAATTATTTATGGAGTCAAGATGATGATTATATTTTAAAGCCAGTATAGGGTTTTGTTGTTCACACAGTGTTAGGTAAAAAACCCCAAACAATTAAATAAATAAATAAACAGATATATTTTGGAGTAACCAAATGTACAGTCCAAACAACGACCATATGAGACAAAGCAATGTGATGGCTCTCTTCAGTTTAATGGAGCTGTCTGTCAGCAGTTGTTTAAATGGAGAGGTAGTGGCACAGAAAGCCTTACTTGAGACTCTCCTGGGAGCTGGAGGAGGAGCGATCCGACTGTGGCAGGGACACGATGCTGTCAGAGTTCTTCAAGTGGGACTGCAGGGCCTTCTGGTAGGAAGACTCCAAGGTGTGGTACAAATGCTCTGCCTCTCGGCTGAAGTGACTGTGGAAACCCCAGTAGCACCTGGAAATGAGGCACAGCACTGTGAGCACACCCTTGGCAGCTTTAGGGGGCTGTGGCACAAAGGCACAGCCAGAGCCCTTCTCACTACACCCCTCAGTGGGGCTAATGCCCAGGCATTTCCAAGCACCTACTGCCCTGACATGTTTAAGACAAACAGCTTTCCAACCATTGTATTGCTCAAACAGCTGCACAAAAGACAAACCAAATAAAAGAACCATTTGGTGTATTTGTTGTAAAAACAGGAGTAGCCAACAAAGCTGCATTAGGGAAGAAGCCCTCATCCCTCCAGCTGTCTACTGCCCATGGGAGACTGCAGGCCCACCTGACTGACACTGGTTTGGGACTGGGTGTGCAGTAGCTACTTCAAAAACCTGCCAAAGGCAGAACACACATGAATGGGCCTGATTCAGGAAAGCACCAGCTGCTGCTTTCTTCCTCAACTTTAACCAACAGGTCTACAAGAATGCTGCAAAGAAACATCTCTGTACTGAGCTGAGGCTGCTGCCTGTCTGTTTGGAAAAAAAAAAAAAAAAAAAACCAGCTGCTGCTTTCTTCCTTAACTTTAACCAACAGGTCTCCAAGAATGCTGCAAAGAAACGTCTCTGTACTGAGTTGAGGCTGCTGCCTGTCTGTTTGGGAAAAAAAAAAAAAAAAAAAAAAAGGAACCAAACCAAAAGAGATGCTCACGTGCACTTCAAATCAGTGCCATGATGAAAATAAAAGAGCATTTTCAGATGAGGGAAGAATTCCTCTATGGTCCAAAACTCCTGGCTGGTGGCTAAACACCATTCACTCTTGAGGCACAAAGGAGATGAAGACTCTTAGTACTTTTCAAGGGGCATCTAATGGGCAGTTCAGGAGTAAGATCATTAGCTCGAATGAATCAAGAATTGTTTGTGTGTGACAGCCCGTTCTCAGAGAAGCCACATGCAGTCTCACATCACAAGAAGAAAACAAATTCCTTTCTCACAATCAGCCACACTACTATTTAATAAACATGGGAAGAGAGAATTAAGCATGCTCTCTGAAGTCCCATGCCATTCTCCTTGCTGTCTATTCAGCTTAACTAGTCACCTGCTGTGAAGTCTCAGTGACTACTGCAATTTTCAGTGATGGACATGCTGCCTTTCAAAAGCATTTAAGCATCCTACTGTGATATACCACTACTTAAAACACAGCATTCAGATTAATAAAATTTATGATTTATTTGTTTTCATGTTTTACACTATCCTCTTTCTGCAGAAAAATGTTCCTGTAGTGTTCCGTTCAGAAAAGCATCATCCTGGTACACAGCATACTACCCTAAGTATGATCATATTAATGGAAATGCCTAAGATCTTCAAAAGAATAAAATTAATTGCAAATATTAAAACTTCCTATAACACAATTTTTTTTCAATGTCATAAAATACTACTTTAATTTAGAATATCATTTAGCAGTGTACTAGCACAAGGACTTTTATTTCAAGAGTAGCAAACAAGAATAGAATAGGCTACTTCAGTGGGATGGGACCTATAAGGGACATCTGGTCCAGCTGCCTGACCAATTCAGAGCTGACCAAAAGTTGAAGTCTGTTCTTAAGGACATTGTCCAAGTGCCCTGAAACAGGTTTGGGGCATTGACTACCTCTCTAGGAACCCTGTTCCAGTGTTTGACCCCTCTCTTGGTAGAGAAATGCTTCCTGATGTCCAGCCAGAACTTCCCCTGTCAGAGCTTTAAAGTATTCCCACCTGTCTATCACCAGATTGCAGGAAGAAAGGATCAGCACTCACTGTTTCCCCTCCTCAGGGAACTGTACAGAATGGTCACCCCTCAGCCTCTCTTTTTTCCACCAACTGGGAAGTCAGGAGAATGTATCTTGACTGGATTTTTGTCTCAACCATGCAACATCACTGACTCACAACACAGGGGTAAAGAAGAGTAGGAAGAAGAGACACCAATAACAGCTTCACTTACTTTCTTGCCTCTATCCTGGCTTCAGAGTCTGCATCATGAATTCCCTTCTTTATTGTTTCAGCCAACACTGATATGTGTCTGAAATATGAAAGAAAATATTATCCAGCAGTTTAGACAGATGTGCCACAGTTATAAACAAATTACTAATTTGATTTTGCCTTGGTTTCTGAGAATAGTTCACCACATCCTTTCATTTCCATCAAGGATCTTTTGTGCTCTTTATTTATTTATTCGTACAAGTCAGTTTTATTTCATCCACACTGCTGTCTAGGAAACAGCAAGCAGCATCCTTCACAGACCTTTACTTAGCTATGCAAACAGCCTGGATTCAAGAACAGTCTTCCAAGCCCTAAATAGTCTTGCGCAGTCTAGGGCTAAAGAATTGTGTCCCAGTCTCTCCTTGCACAATTACTTCAACTGGTCACTAGTCTGAATCAATGTAGAAGTCTCAGAAGCTCCTGATAAGACATGCAGCAGACCTTTTTTAGAAAAAAAATTTCTCAAACGAAAGTTATTGAGTTCAGAGATTTGCTCAGCCAGGTTTTCCAAGGCTGGCATAGGAGACATACTCACCAAACTCTGACAGAACTACAGAACAAACAGTGTGTGTGCATACATGCTTCTTTGGGGTGGGAAAAACATCTCTACTACAGCTAACCCTTCTCTCCTAAATGGTCCTTTCTCCAGAATGATCCAGGAAATTATCTCCTTCTCTGTAAAATCTCCCCAAATAAGTAGGAGAGAACACACCCACTTGTATTCAGAACTTACCTTTCTAAGGAGTGTGTTTGCCACTCCTGCAACAGCAAGTCTAAAAATTCAAAGCAGCGCCTGAGAGGAGAGAGGAGAAGAAATGTTGAGTTCAAGTTAATTGGGGCACATTGGCTTTGCCATACCTGACTCTGAACAACAACCATCTTTGCTTAGGAAGCATTTTGGGACATCAAAATTCAGTGCTGACCTCAACAAAAATATCAACAGCTCAAAAAAAACATTAATAAACAGTCAGAAGTATTAATTGGAGGCAGCTTGCTATAGAGAAGCCTGAAGAGAGGGATTGCCATAAAACAATCTTGGAAGCTTCCTTTTTCATTAAACAAGATACAGGCCCAGAAGATTGATACTGATACTCTGTACCTGTTAGTCCAGGCTTCACACAGAAACTTCACAGTTAGCCTCATGTGGGGACAGACCTTCCAACTTTAATCTCCCTTTCTCACTTCAAGAACCTTAAGGCACAAATGTGCTGAAATGTTTTCAATGTTTGTCACCAAATACAGCAACGACAAAGCCCTTCCTTTTGTCTAACTCAAAGAGAGCCAGTTAAAGTATGTGGAGGAGGCAAGAGTCCCCAAGTGAGGTAGTGGACTGAAGCACTCAGATTATAGTTGCAGAAAGGACCATTAGACCATTCAGTCCATCTTCCCTTCCAGATGATGCTTTCATGTAAATTTGATTTACTGGCTCAAAGAAAACAAGTCACTGTAACAACCAGCAGTGGGGAATAGGAATGTGTCTGTAAAAATGCCAAAATAATATGTTGTTACAACAACATGTAAAGACAATTAGTTTAAAAACCATTTCTCCTTGTGGAAAAATGCATTGTGCTCTCTGCAGTGATGCAGTTTATGAAAGATAGCTGATTTGAATTTGAAGTCAAATCATAGAGAAGAAAGATTCATGTTAAAAAAAGTGTGTTTTCAACCCTTTTCACAAATAACAACAAATACATTCACATTTTCAGAAAGCATCTATTTACTAGGAAATAACAGTAAATGCATACTAAATTCTCACCTTCTAACTGCAACAGACTTGGAGGTACAATTACTGGTTATGATGGGTATTAACCGAGGGATGTGCGTGTGCTGGAAGCAAACAAACAAGAACAGGAAGAAATCTTTACACAACAATTCCACAGAATGAAAGACCATCTTCAGCCACCTGAGCTCAGTACTCAGATCCTTATTGCTGCTCAATACTTAAAAACAGAACTGCACACTAACAGATATAGGCGAATTTTTAATACCAAAAATATTTTACAATTTATCAGCTAAAATACCTTTAACAAATACTTGATTTTCTTCTATAATGACACTCTCTAGTGAGTCAAGTAGCTGAAGTCACTGCAGGAGGATCTAAACTGCCAATGGTCACAATTTTAGAGACATTAGGCTATCTACAGCTTACCCAATGAATCACTAAGCAGAAGTCACCACTGTGAACTAATACTTTTGAGAAACACGGACTGTCTGTGGGGTATTTTAGAGCACAATTAAGAGGATGAGCCTGTGCTGCAAGGCTGGTCTAAAATAGTTTCAAAGAACAATGTTTGCTCAACTCTTAGAGAGATGGAAACATCTTGCCCTGCAGAAAGAAACATTTCCCCTACTATTTTGGCAGAGCTTAAAAAGCATCATCTGCACAAGGCTGCAGAACATCTGAGACAGCCAAGCCCAGCACTATCAGAAAAGTAGATTAGGCATTAATCTTATTTTTATTGCAGCAGCATTCATATTTCATCAGAAACACTGCAGTGTTCAGAAATTATAACACTGTTCTCTCTTGATGTATACTTACTCGAATGATTAATCTAACTGCTACAACACCAGAAGTGGCCATGACTTTGGCACTATTTGGAATTAGATTAAAAATTGTTGGCATGATGGCTTCTGCCCCATGGTCAAACTTGTTTCCCAGAACTGATGACAAATGTCTGAAAAACAGAATGAAGTCATGCTGGTAAGTGAGCTGAAGATAAAGCAAGTCAGACTTGTACAGAACATGTGACATAAGCACATCTGACATCTCAATCTTTGCAATTGTCACCTCCTCTCCAACTCCAAAGGACAGATAACACCATGTTTCAAAAAACAGTTCCTTTCCTTTCATTTCCAACTTGTGTCCTATATTCATCTGAGAAACAGTAAGGTCAGCATAAAAAAAAAGTAATTAGCACAGCTAAAAATTTTATTATCAAACAAATGGGATCAAGGTGATAGAATATTTTATGTTAGTTTATATTACAACTTCTCTGAAGCTCCTTATTAAAAAAAAAAGTCAGAAACACTGCAGCACACTTTTTCTTGAAAAAAAAAAAGTAGACCATCAGAAATAAAAACTAGCTGAATCCAAACCAGAACAAAACATAAACATTTCCATCTTTAGTGTTCAATGCTTCCCTACTTGTGCACGAAGGCATGGCTTGCTCATTCATTCTGTGCAGCCCACATCAGCAATGTTTAGTGCTCAGGAACACGGCTTAGCAGAATTACAATTAGTGGCCTACATGATGGAGTTTGAAACAGATGCAGAAAAATCATGTTCTAGCTTTAACTCTGTAGCACGAGCAGCACAAGCTGCATCCTGACTGTGTTTTAACCAATGCCTGTTCCTTTTCTTTTACATCACATTTCAAACACACATAGAAAATAAACTCACCCCAAGGTGATACAAGCCTCTCGTACAACTTGAGACCGCAGGTCTTTAGCAGATAATTTAAATGCTCCATCCAAAAGTCTTAAGTGTTGGAAGAAGTTATCATATTCTGCAGCTCCAGCCAAAAGTAAGGAGCGGATCTTTTTCAACTGTTAGGAGTATAAAAGAAATCAGTGACTGTTAATGAGCAGCAAATATAAGGACAACTCAAGACCAATACCTGGTTCCAGGTTTCTTGCACAATTATTCATCTACATGTATTGAGGAAGTTAATTCTTGATGTCCAAGTAATTTTATTATTTCCTATCTTATATTAAACCCATGATTAGTAAACATACTAGGTACAATAAGCTAAACATCCTTTCTAACTTACAGAAATCCAGAAGTGTTGCATACAGCTACTCAAATTGTATAATTAATAACCCAAACAATATTTTTTTAAATCAAAAGGTATCTTAAACATTCTCCTTTGTTCCCCTATTTACAACAGCTTCTAACATTTAGGTAATCTCACAGCTGACTCTCATGTTAAAAAGATATCTAGACTTAAAGGGCATGGTTCACATTCAGGCTGGGTAATAATGACTTGTATCCAGAATGTGTCCATTTACTTCATTAAAACAGTTATCTGGCTCTAGCAGAAGTGGAACCTTGACCCCATCAAAATGGGAAATTTCCTATTAATATTACAGGGACCACCATCCCATCCTGCAGACAATCCTCTGACAGCTTCACAGGCCCTCCCATGCACCACTGCATCTGCACATGGGCTTGATTTCGTCTCCCTGTTACTCAGTACAGAAATAAAATTAAACAGAAGTAAGCTGAATCAGCCCAGTCTGCCACTCAGATCTGTAACACAGGGTTTGACAGACATGGCAAAGCTGCTACACCAGTGATGAAAGTCTGCTGTGTAGACAAGACTGTGCATCTATTTGTATCATGAAAACACAGCTCACCTCCGTAAACAGTATTTGGTCTTGACATGCATATAACATCCAATTTTCCACTTCCACACTTCCCACAGACATATTTATTTATTCAAAACTTAAGTGTGTAGATTCTTGCTGAATTATTTTACACCTCCCTTTTGCAGAAGTATAAATAAGTTCTCTGTAAGCAAAGTAATTTTCTCCCTTATCAGGTAGGTTTTAAGGTATTCTGAGTAAGACTTGACATTTTGATTTTAGCACCTGCTAGCAAATTTCTAGCTTTGAACCTGAATTTACTGCACAACTTCCAGTTCAACCTGATGCTGTCTCAACAGACTTTTGTATACCAAATAGAAATTTCTCTCACAAATGTGGCTTAAATTCAGTCTCACAAGGAAACGTTTTCCTCAAGTTTGGGGGAACATAACAAGTGCTCACCACTGAAACTACATTCCAGCCTTAGTCTGATGTTTTCTCAGTACCCTCAGTGGGATTAAGCTCAGTGTACAAAAAGCTTATATTAATAGAGATCCTATCTAAATTCACTACTTACCGCAGAAACTCTCTGTTCCCAGTCATGTTTATCATCTGATAGTATCTCTCTGATCTTGTTTATGGATTCCTCAAGATCCCGGCTGGAATAAATCTACAAATTGAAATACAGAGCAGCACCGTAATGCAGGATTTACTCCATAAAATCAGATCACTTCCCAACTACATTATTATGTCCTTTGCACCTCAGTGCTTAAAGATCATGTGCTAGCCTTGGACACAACTGACTTTGCACAATGCACAGAATTTACACCCATTGCCTGCAACCAAAAATTTAGAAACTATTACAAGATGATTAAAGGATCATATTGCATTATTTTACTATAGTGTCACAATTTTAAGCAGCATTCCTGCAGCTACTAGTGGCTATATTAGTCAAAACCTACAGAAGATCATGAGTGGACACATGTGCTGTTCAGCTGTCCCAAATATGAAGTTCCAGTGAAGGAGAGGGGGGAATACATGATGCATCTCAGCTATCCAGTTAAATCAGCAAACATGCATGGTCCAGTGGTCACACACACAACAGCAGCAATCCCTGAGACACAAGTCACCTTTACTGCTTTCAGTTCCCACAGGGTTTCACATAAACTACTAGCACACTCCACCACCATTTAGAACTTGCCTCCCTTCAACTTCCAACCTGCTTCCCCCTTGAAGATTTGCCAACATCACAATGAAGCACAATTTGCCAGTGATTAGCATGAGATCCTATATCCACCTTCTGCTTTTTAGTACAGTGTGGTCTAACAGGTAACTCTACTTACCTGGACTGTTGGGACATCTTCAAATGCCTTAATGAAGTCTTCTTCATCCACAGCACCTGCTCCCTCTTTGGCTGCTGACACACAAATGAAAAAGCTTTTTCAATCTTGTTATTAACATAAGAATCAATTAAGAAACCATCAGCTATCAAGGCACTTAATCAGGAGAAAGTTCACTACCCATGCAGCCTGAGTGCTGCAGATGTAATGAAAGCAGAGGCAGGGAAATTCAGTGCCAGGCACTGGTGAGACATTCATGGCATCCTTCAACTCATAGGCACACAGGGCACATTAGGGAAGTCATTACAGTAGTCTCTCAATAGTTAGGGGACACAGTCTGAAAGATGAAAGGGAATACTTACTTTAATTATATGGGAGACTTTATTTTAAAGGATTTAATCCCATCTATAATAGATGAAGGTGGAGATCTGACAGGTGCACAAACAGACGAACGATAAGGAAGATAAACAGTCTATGGAATACTAATCAGATTAGAGACTGCCTGATATAGGGAACTTTCTCCCTTTCCCTAGGACACATATAGAATTAGAGCTACATGTAGAATAATTGCTAACATTCAGAATGACTGATCAGTATTCTTTTTGCACCTTCATTACCAGAAATGCCCAAAGGTCTTAAAAGAAAGCCAGTGTGTCAGGTTTAGACTGCAAGGGCTGAAGTGTGGCTATATAGCTTCTGTAGCTGTAAGCAGCCTCAGTTCAGATAGAGTTGGAACTACAAAGGCAAAATCTACACACTGGAGCATCAACTGATTTACTCATAGCCCTCAGTGCACAACCACACAGGTGCAACCTCTCACAAAATGCAAAATAAATTATGAGGATGTGGGGATTTGCTTGGAGATTCATCCTGACTCTGGTTGTGGCATGCAGAGAACACAGACATAATGACTGTATAGAGAAAAAATTGTTGCTAGATTCTGGGGCCAGTGGAAGTGCTTGCAAGAAGCTCAATATGAACACTGTAAATACTTCACAGACACATCAATTTATACAGGCTATTGGCTTACTTGAAGACTTGGTGCCCAGGGGCGCAGAGCCAAGCCTGCGGGTAGTGCCCATCCCGACTCTGCGCGAGTTTGCAGGGGCCTTTGAAGATGTAGAGGAGCTGGCTGAGGAAGGTCTGTTCCCATCCACGGAGTCTTCATCATCAAAAATTTTATCTGCCAAAAAAACCACACTCAGATGTAAGACCAATGAAGCAAAGGGATGTCCCAAGGAACATGCCCCTGTTATGGGCTACATTTTCCAGCCTGCTCTGCCAGCTCCCATCTCAGCAGTGTCCTCATGCTAAAATCCAGTTAGTCATGGAATACCACCAGCTCACTGAACCCAACCCTTCACTACTGCAGACACTGTGTTATAAACCCTTTCAATGAATGCATTCAGATGAAGAGTGAACTGCAAATCCACAGCAAAAAGATGCAAGCCCAGATAATACTTGGGGTGTTGACAGTCTGCAGCTCTCACATTTATGTTTCCAAGAGCTCTTTTGACATGGACTGTAGTGGAACTAAGACCACAAGCAAATCCAAAATCCAGCAGCAACTGCCTGCACCAGACCAAGGATTAACAGTCACCCAGGAAAGTTCACACGGCAACACCCACGTTGTTGATGAACCACAGACCACACACCCATCTGGAGCTACTTTAACTCTTTAAATTAACACCAAGGATTCTTCACAAGGAAATACAAAAAGTTTCCTCAATTTCATAAAAAAATAATTATAAGGTGCATTAAACCTTTCAGAACCTTCTGTGTACATCCAACTTCAGCCTCTACCACCAAATGTGAACATAAATTAACTAAAAATGAATTACAGCCTCTTTGATTCTCAGTCAAGGTTACTTCAATTCCAAAGGAGTGCTTATATTGCAGTTTTACACAGATTAGCTAATTTACTTGAAAAAACAGTCTTGGGTTGAAAGGTGACAAAGCAGTTGGCAGCTGATATAGATGGAACACGTAATTATTGAGGCCAGAAAGCCAGCTCAGCCCCCATCACTCAGCCTCTCCACAGGAACACTTCATTCAAGATTTGAGATCAGCTTCATGCCCATCCCTCTCCAGCAGCCCAAGGTACACACTCACTCTCCACCAGATTACCAACATTTCCTTCACAATTTTCACTTGGCAAAAAGTCAAGCAGGTGCTTTAATCCATCCCTGCTCAGGAAAGCATCTGGGAACTTCTAGTAACAAATACAGGCTCCTAGCGAGACACTAATGAGTGAAATTCAATACAGGCTGGGCTTTCTGAAGGTAAAAAAATAACTTGATAACAGTATAGGCATATTTTAAGGGAGGCAAAAGAACAGGAAGAAAAGCCTATTTTGTTCTCAGCTCAACCACCTTCAGTTTTCTCTGCCCTAAGTGGCACTGGCTTATTAACTGGACACAGGAGAACTATCACAGACCATCTAAAAATCTACACAGCCCATTTGTGATATGCAGCAGTGCACATAATACCATACTCCAATCACAACTCAATACTGACATGGCAGATACACAAAAACATCCAAAAGGTGAAAAAAAGGTGGACAAGGACATCTCTTCATTTTGATGTTTAAGATGTCTTGAAATATGGGAAAGGGCTAGGGGAAAAAAGCAACTCTAAAGGGAAGGGGTAAAATAATAACTGGTACTTGTACTGCTGTTCAGGAAAAAGTGAACAAGGCAAAAGTGAAGAGAAGAACTTTAACTTGGATAAATTTCAGGTCACACAGCTAAAGAGAATATAAACCACAATTAGGATGTGGGCTGTCTCTTTAACACAGTGCCTGAAGGCAGCCATGGAGACCGTGCTATCTCCCTGTTGACACCAGTCTTGTTCTGACATATGTAATTCAAAACTAATTTGAAAAGAGCTCAGGGAACAATCATGAGAATGATTAAAGGATTAGAAAATATGTTTTTAATTCAATTAAATGAAAATTCTCTGCAAGAGATTGTTTAGTCTAGCCAGATTCCTAATAAGTTGCTTGATTATATTCTGTGTTAACACAGCTACTGAGGATTTATTAACACAGTTTTCCAATGTGATTTATTAATATTGTTTCTCACCTAATAGAAAAATATACAACAAGGCAACTGGCTAGAGATTAAAAACAAATTAAATTCTGAGTTGCCTTTTTTTTCTTCTCTTTCCCCCTGCTCCCCCCTCCATTTTTTGCAATAATCACAGGTCTGACCCTCTGTGAGGTTAGGAGGTGCATCACCCAGTGAATTCTACCATAGGCAGTTCTTAAAAGTAAAATTGATTTTTTTTTTTCCCCCAAAAGATATAGTCTAGTTCAAACAGGAATTATTTCAAAAATACTGCTTGGTGTGAGTTGCACCAAGGTCAGGGCAGATCAAAATAGGCTTTAAAATGTGTAATCTCTGAAGCCTCTAGGATGAGGTTTAAGTGATTCAGAAAGACTGGGACAGCTATTCAAACCCAAAACTTCTAAGCAAAACTTGTTCCAGGTGCAATTATTTCAAAAGCTCCTATATAAATATTTAGCAAACTATTATTTGACATATGTGTATTAACAGCCAGGAGAAAGTCAGTCATATTGGAAACAAAAGGCACTTTTACTAGCTCATAGCCTCTTTCATCAGGTAATAAAATTCTCCATCAGCTGCATTTCAGGCTACCTAGATGCAGCCTAGTTAACTCATTTCCTCTTCTATATGCATTTTCAAAGCCTCAGCCCTCTGACGGGAGAAGAGGGTGTGGTTTCCTATCTCATATAATAAATCAAAATTTAAAAAGTCCACATATCAAAAGCATTGCACTCCTGTAGCATTTTAGCAACTAAATACATTAAAATTTCTTTCTTAAACAGGCTTTTCTGAACATTAGCAAAAAAACAACACTCCAAAAATCAAACAAGCCCACCCACAGTTCTGGGGGTGACTGGATTACAATCACATCTTCCTGCTCATTAAGTCTGTAAACTAAGCACTACATATTTATCAAACCAGAATACCCCTTCAATAACCCAACAGCATTTTCTCATCTGAGCAGTGCAGAATGACAGCACCACATTCAGAACTGCACATCAAGTCTGCCAGCAGCACGTGTGCAGAACAGAAAGAGAAACAAAGAACAGAAAGGAACCTGGACACGGGAGTACAGAAAAGAATGGAAAACCAAGCTACTATATGTTATTGTTATAAAACCCTTTTTTTTCTTTGCCATCCATTGATTCCTGCTCATAATAATAATTTGAACTGGATTAATATTTTTCAACATATCTGCAAATGGCAAATTCAGCATGGGTGTAACTCTCGGGACACCAGCTGAGGTGCACTGAAGCGGAATCGGTGCCACATTAACATTAAATAACCTCTGATGTTCTCCCATCACAAGACACCCCCAGTGCTCATTTATAAGGACCTTACAGTCCTCTCTGTCCAAGACATGCCCTTATAATAGAGGCCTTTGTCTGCTCGCCACTCTGCTGTCTCAGAGACAGGGAGAAGACAATCTGCTCTACATTTTTCAATTCCTTTATATTATTTAAGAAGAAGAGAAAATTGCTTACAAGTGCATATCCTTCTGCAAATAAGCTTCCTCAACATTCCTTCATATTTTCCATAGCGTGCCCAGATGTAAGAGTGCTTCACGGCGCGCCGCGGCTTTCAGTCCGGAACATAATCAATCATTGCCCCTCGGATTCATTAAGCATGCTGTCTTCACACGTGGATTTAAACAGCCATGGCCTCTGTCCTCTCTCTATGGCTGCAGATCTGCACAATTCTTATTATCAACACCCATTTCAGCCCAGGAAACTTCGGTTCACTTCTGGGGAGGAAATTCCCTACTAGCGAGGGGAAGCCAGGACAAATAATCCGGGATGAAGATGAGCTGAGTGTGCCTGGCTCGGCTGGCTTGCACTAGGAACCAGCCTGACTTTATCCCCTGGGAAGCGCTAACAGGAGCATCTCAACAGCTGTCATCATTTGTCCATGACGAATAAATTTAGTCATTATTCATTTTAAAACGTAACCCCTTCAGGTCTGGGCAAGGTGAAAAGTGGGGAGAAGAGGCTGCTATTCAGGAACCATGGTAAACAAGGGCCAGCACTTCCCTTGCCTGCATCACCAGCCTGGGACCTTTTAGAGCAGAGTCTCAAATGTCCTTTCCAATGAAAAAAGATGTTTTCTGGCCCTTAAAAACTTTAGATGTCAGATTCAAATCTTTTAGTTATTTGTTTGTAAGCTTTAGAGAAGACAGCTACTCTGTAGTGATGACAGACTGGGAAGAGAGCTTTCCATCAGATCTGTTCCTAACAAAGATGCCCCACTATGGTCTCCAGAATCAACTCTGTAAAGGACTGAACTTGTCCTGGGCCCACTGTGCTCACTCATCATCTGTTCCGCTTCCAAGCATCAGAGCAGCTGAAACAGGCAGGATGGGTACCTCTTGCATGAATCACCTGTAACACTCTCAGGAATCCCTCTTTTGGGTGCAGATGGAAGTGGATGTCAGCAGAGGAACATGCCTCCCCCACCATTCCTATGGCATGCTCCACCAGAAGCAGACAGGTAGCTGCTAAAGCTGACATATATTACAGCACTTCCAAATTCCATGCTCAACCCCTACTAGGCAGGCAAAGCCCAGCTCCCTGAAGATCTGAGAGCCCTTTACAAGCCAAGAACACACCAGCAAAACTACCGATGCCAAAGGAAACAGGGCGTGCTCCTCTTTACTCCTTTCTGCCAGGCACAAGTCCATGAGCACTGGACCATATTTTTGAGACAGACACCCCTTTGACATCTCAGCTCATGCCCTTCCCTCAGGGCAGCATCTGGTAGCCCCAACTCCAGCTGTGACTTCTGCTGTCACCCCCTGTTGGGTGTCCAAGCGAAACAGCTTCAGCTTCCCATTAGCACACATGAAACCCATGCATGGCTTAGCTGCAAGCCTGTCCAACTCCAACATAGCTGTTGTAGTTTATAAACCCACTAAAGATAAAGGAACATGCATCCTCAGCAGGATTAAGTGTTTAAAAACAAAGGAGTGGCAGCTACAGGCAGAAGTCCATGGGCACAGCACATCTTTAAGGTTTCCTGCTTGGCCATCTCCCAGTGTCCCAGCTGCTCTCCCTGGCCCCAGATACAGCTCCTCCTTCCCACCCTCCACACCAGGCAGTGTTCTGTGCCTTAAAAAGCC